AACTCAGACCCTCCGTGAGTTATATCGTTTGGTTGATACTCACAATCATATGCTTCAGAGTTACGCTAATTTTTTGAGCAATGCTAATGCCACTCCGGCAGCGCAACCATTTCCCGGTCCAGCTCCACTTCCGAGGTCACCTGCAGTGACGTCATCAGAGTTCTGACCAAGTCTACCAGAAAGATTCTCTGGTAATATGAAAGACTGCAAGGGATTTTTGTTTTCAGTTTTAATCTTTCAGAACTCGCCTGGCAGTTTTTCCACGGACTATAAGAAGATAACTTTTATTCTTTCCCAATTAACAGGAAGAGCCTTGGAGTGGGCTCAGGCAAGGTTTGCCTCCGATGAAAGCCTCGATTGCCGTTATTCAGAGTTTATTTCTGAATTTTCTCAGGTATTTAATCAAGAAACAGATCAAACCATTGACTCCCGTGCTATTTTCAACATTAAACAGGGGAATTCCTCGGTGGCGGAGTTCTCCATCAACTTCCGGGTTAAGGCGGCAGCTTCCGGATGGAACCAAAGCGCTCTGAAGGGGGCTTACTTTATGGCTTTGAACGAAAGCATTAAGGATGAACTAGCAACCCTCGACGAACCAGCTACTCTTGAAGAATTAATCCGTCTGACAATTAAATTGGACAATAGAATCCGAGCTAGAAACAGCTCCAAGTCAAGAAGTCTGGCATCATTTTCCTCTGCCCCTGCGTCAAATAATGTGACTGTATTCTCTCCTCCCACAGAGCAGTTGCCTAAACCGAGACCTAAAGCCCACTCTCTCCCTCTGCCTGTTCAGGCCTCTCATTCCGGAGATATGGATGCCGAACCCATGCAGGTGGGACACACCAGGCTCACTCCAGAGGAAAGACAAAGACGTTTTTTGAGTAAACTATGCATCTACTGTGGTGAGAGTGGTCACTTCATCGCTTCCTGTCCAGCTAAATCAAAAAGCCTGGGCCCGGCAGAGGTTCTGAGGAGTCTGGTGGGCCATGCTAACTCTAAGAAATCTCCTCGGCTGATGCTCCCCGCCACTTTGTTTTGTTCTAATCAAAGCCTCTCTTTTTCTGCCTTCATCGATTCAGGCTGTGAACGTAACTTAATTGATTCAGACCTTGTTCAACAACTTCAGATTGAAACTATTCCCCTGACCCAGCCTCTTAGTGTCTCAGCCATTGATGGGAAAAAACTCCACCAGGTTACCCATCAAACTCAACCTCTCAAGCTACTACTCTCAGGTAACCATCATGAAACCATAACATTTTTTGTTTTTCCCTCCGCATGCTCTCCCCTGGTGCTTGGATTTGAATGGTTGGAGAAACATAATCCACATATTAACTGGACTGATCGGCATGTGGAATCATGGTCTACGTTATGTCACGAAACATGCCTCTGATCAGCTGCCCACGTGGTGGGGCCTCCTAGTGGTGGGGGGGAGATGGACTCTCCTGACCTTTCTTCTGTCCCTTCTGAGTACCATGATTTGGCTCCTGTCTTCAGTAAGGTCAGTGCTATGTCTCTTCCACCACACAGACCATATGACTGTGCGATCGAGCTATTACCTGGAGCACCTCTACCCAGCAGCAGACTATACAATATTTCCAAACCAGAACGAGAGACCATGGAAAGATACATTAACGAGTCTTTAGCTGCTGGGATAATTCGCCCATCTTCTTCTCCGTTGGGTGCTGGTTTCTTTTTCGTTGGCAAGAAGGACGGTTCCTTAAGACCATGTATCGATTACAGAGGTTTGAACCAAATAACAATTAAAAACAAGTATCCTCTTCCTCTACTCGCCTCAGCTTTTGAACCTGTACAAGGGGCAACCGTTTTCACCAAACTAGACTTGAGGAACGCTTATCATCTTCTTAGAATCCGTGATGGTGATGAGTGGAAAACAGCTTTCAAAACCCCCTTGGGTCAGTTCGAATACTTGGTCATGCCCTTTGGTTTAACAAATGCCCCTGCCTGTTTTCAAGCCCTTGTGAATGATGTTCTCAGAGACTTTTTAAATGTGTTCGTGTTCGTCTACATTGATGACATACTCATTTATTCAAAGAATCCTTCTGAACATAAGAAACATGTCCGCCTAGTGTTGCAAAGACTGCTGGAGAACAAACTGTTCGTCAAAGCTGAAAAATGTGAGTTTCATCAGCCTTCAGTCACCTTTTTGGGGTTTGTGCTCGAGGGCGGGCAGGTTAAGCCTTCTGAGGACAAAATAAAGGCTGTTTTGGAATGGCCAGTTCCTGAAAACCGCAAGCAGCTGCAGAGATTCCTGGGTTTCGCCAATTTTTATCGCCGATTCATCAGGAACTATAGCCAGACAGCTCTTCCTCTAAAGTCGTTAACCTCAGTCAAACGAACGTTTCAATGGACCCCTGAGGCACAAACCGCATTTGAGAAACTGAAATCATTGTTTTCCAGAGCACCCGTGTTAATCCAGCCTGACCCATCCAAACAATTTATCCTCGAAGTGGACGCTTCCGATTCTGGTGTAGGAGCTGTCTTATCTCAGAGACTCGACACTGATCAAAAGATTCATCCTTGTGCCTTTTTCTCTCGAAGACTTTCCTCGGCAGAGCAAAACTACGATGTTGGGGACCGTGAGCTGCTGGCCATCAAATTGGCGCTGGAGGAATGGAGACACTGGCTGGAAGGAGCTGAGCACCCGGTTCTAGTTTGGACAGATCACAAGAACCTTGCTTACATCCAGTCAGGGAAAACAAGCTAATCCCCGTCAATCTAGGTGGTCCATTTTCTTCTCACGATTCAATCTCATTATCTCCTACAGACCCGGATCCAAGAATGTCAAACCTGATTCTCTCTCTCGTCTATACTCCGTCGATCAACCCGAAACGCCTGAACCTGTCCTTCCTGCATCATGTACAGTTGGAGTGGTTACCTGGGAGATCACAGATCTAATTAACACCGCCCTGGCTACAGAACCTGACCCAGGTAACGGTCCAGCTAACCAAACCTATGTACCATCTTCTGTCAGGTCTCGCCTAATTCAATGGATGCATGCAGCCAAGTTTTCCGCCCATCCGGGGGTCAGTAGAACCGTCGCCTTAATTTCAAGACGCTTCTGGTGGCCAACTCTCCACAGAGACGTCAAGGAGTATGTGTTGGCCTGCTCCACCTGTGCAAGAAATAAAGCCTCACACCAGCCTCCCTCAGGCCTGCTACAGCCCCTTCCGGTTCCCACGCGTCCATGGTCCCATATAGCAATCGACTTTGTCACTGGTCTCCCTGTCTCCCGAGGTATGTCAACAATCCTCACCATCATTGATCGATTCTCGAAATCTTGTCATCTCATCCCTCTCAGGGAACTTCCCACGGCTTTCCAAACCACTCAGCTTCTGGTCAAACACGTTTTCCGTCTACATGGCATTCCCCAGGAGATCCTCTCTGATCGTGGCCCCCAGTTCATATCCCAAGTTTGGAAGGCATTCTGTTCGGCTCTCGACTGTAAGTCCTCTCTAACATCCGGTTATCACCCACAGTCCAACGGCCAAACAGAGAGGATGAACCAACAGCTAGAGTCAACCCTCCGTTGTCTGACATCAAACAACCCCACCGACTGGAGCCAATACCTAACTTGGATTGAATATGCTCATAATTCTCTCAAATCTGCTTCCACCAGCCAATCACCAGGTCAGTCTCGGTTACCAACCTCCACTTTTTCCCGCAGACGAGAGAGAGATTTCGGTCCAGTCAGTTAACCAACACATCAGACGCTGCCAACGCATATGGAGAGAAACCATCACGACCCTCAACCGATCTTCCGAGACTACCAAGCGTTTTGCCGACTCCAAAAGACGCCCCGCCCCCGAGTACTCCGTGGGTCAAGAGGTATGGCTATCAACCCGAGACATTCCCCTCAAGGGAATGTCTCGTAAACTCTCTCCAAAATTCATTGGCCCGTATAAGATTTCCCAGGTCATCAACCCTTCAGCCGTATGCCTTCAATTGCCTCAGTCTCTTCGTATTCATCCTACTTTCCACGTTTCTCAAGTCAAACCTGTAGTCTCAAGTCCTCTGTGCCCACCATCCAACTCCCCTCCACCCGCCCTGGAAGTCGATGGTCATCCTGCCTTCACCGTCCATCGAATCGTGGACTCCCGTCGGCGAGGTCGAGGCTGGCAGTACCTCGTCGACTGGGAGGGCTACGGCCCGGAGGATCGCCAGTGGGTTCCTGGCTCTTACATCCTCGATCCATCCCTGATTGAGGAGTACGAGCGTTCCTGTCCATCGACGTCTTCAGGACCGCCAAGGGGCGGTCGTTGAGGGGGGGTACTGTTGGGAGCTGGAGAAGTACCACCTTCCTCCAGCAGAGTCCGCCGTGGATCCTCCTGAGTCGAGCCTCCTGCACAGCTGGAGCTCATCCCATCATTAGAGGATCCACAGTACTTAAGCTGTCTTCAGACCTTGCCTCAACGCCGCAGTGTTGATCCAGTTGGTTAGCACCTAAGCCTAGTATCTCTGAGAACCTTTGTTGACTTTTTGAATCCAGACTGGATTCTAACCTTTGTCTCTGTCTTCCAGGAAACCAGTTTTTCTCCTGTGAAGCTCTGGAAGAACTTAACCTGCCGAGCCTGCCCTCTGAGCCAAACCTGAAGCCTCCCTCTGAACTTCCATGCAGCTCTGGACCAAGAGCTGGAAACTCAAAGTCAAGGTCTGCTCACTCTTAAGAAGTAAGACGCTGAAGCAGCTTACGGACTCTGCTGAACAAACCATCTCCGGACCCAACAGTTTCCCTCTCAAGGCTTTAACCAAGAACCCTCAAGGTACAGATCTGAAACTGTCAAGAATTAAACTCCTATGCGCAACGCTAACTGAACTGTCTCTCACGCAGACTCCGGTTAACCAGTTTCCCAGGCCTGAACCAGAACCAGTCATTCTCTCTGTGCTTGTGACAATAATTAAACCTTTTACTCCAGTTTCCGTCTCAGTGGTGTTCTGCATTATTGGGTCACACCAGTGAACCCATCATGACAGTACGTGTTTAGAGTTATTCAAACATATGAATGTGGAACTATCTGGAGAGTTTAAATAAGAATGAACCAAAGTCGTTGAGGTCAACATTTCTGCATCATTCAGCAAATAGAAATACTTTTGCCAAACCCATGACACCATATGAGAAAAAAAATATGTTTTTTTTCATACAGACTATACAAAAATTAACTGTAGGTATATATTTTTTTTTAATTTCTTAAAAAATATATAGCTGTAAAATGTTTTTGGTTATTTAACCAGTTCATATGTCAAAAGGGAATGGCAGGGAAAAAATAAAATTAGTTATTGAGTGAGACAGTAATAAACAGACAGATCTGTCTTATAGTTGTGGTGTTACTGACTATTAAATATAAATCCGAGCTTTTGAGAGTGGGCACAATAATGAATCCAAAATGAATGCAGTCCTAGTCACTGTCTCTGTGTCCAGATCATTTCTGCTCAAACAGGGAGGTTCTCGTGGAGGTACTCCATGCTGCCGCTCTCAGAGAAATCCGCCACCGTATGACCATCACCTCTCAGGATCCACTTGGTGGTGAGCAGTCCCTCAAGGCCCACAGGGCCCCGGGCATGAATATGGGCTGTGCTAATCCCAACCTCAGCTCCTGCACCCATAACATCAACAAAAAGAAATAATAACTTAAATATCATAACAGCAGAATAAAGGTTCATTATTTCTCAATGCAAGGGGATGAATATGAAATTATACAAAAAACTATTCTTTAAGTTCAAAAACCATTGAAACTTAACCTCAAATGTACAAAAAGTCATACTAAACATATAAATACCATTTATCAATGAGGTGGAAAATAAGCAACAATTCTTAATTTAGTATCTTATAGAACAACCTTTAGGTTAAATTACAGTATTAAAATGTTTGTATAAATCTTACATTAAAACATTTTTAATTGTTCTTTTCTTTTTTTATGTTATTTTTTTATAGCATGCTGGACATAGGAGCACAACGCTACGACGGAGTATTAGGGCCACACATGAAGAGAAAAAATATTTTTGTCATGACGAGATTAAACTCGACATGTCCACTTTAAAGTCGACATGTCGACATTAAACTCAACATTTTGAGAATAAAGTTGAAATGTCATGTTGAGTTTAATCTCGACGTGTCGACTTTAAACTCGCCATCTCGAGAATAAAGTTGATATATCGTGGCGACTTTAATCTCGACATTCCAAAGTTTGGAGAAAAGAGCAACCGCGCTCCACAGCTGCAGTCTGCGTTTTAAGAGTGAAGGTAGTCTTTGACGTGCTGCAACTGTATAGGATTCTGTGCATGTATCCTGTGCAGCGGTTGGCTCTCTTGAACTAATTTAAACTTTATTGTCGAGATTAAACTCAACATGACATTTCAACTTTATTCTCGAAATGGCGAGTTTAAAGTCGACAGGGCGAGTTTAAAGTCGACACATCGAGATTAAACTCAACATGACATTTTAACTTTATTCTCGAAATGTTGAGTTTAATCTCGACATGTCGACTTTAAAGTTGACATGTCGAGTTTAATCTCGTCATGGCAAAAATATTTTTTCTCTTCATGTGTGGCCCTAATACTCCGTCGTACAACGCCTTCATATAGATGGGTTTCTCTCTTTATTTTTTTTTACATGTTCTTTGCAAATTAACAAAAAGGCTCAAAGATTGTGATTTTGCATGTGAACCTGTTCCATGTGAGTAAGAAAGGAGCTGGTTAAAAAAAAATGGTTTAAAGACTAAATAAAAATGCATTAAAGTTTTGCTGAGTAATAAAATAACTGTAAGAAAGTGTCGATCTGAAGAAAATACGCAATGTAGACAATCCTGGCCACAATTCCAACTTAAGATTCTCACTGACAAACCAAAAACTTTGGGAAATAAAAAAATTACTAACCGAGTCCAAACCGATATCCATCAGCAAAGCGTGAACTGGTGTTCCAAAAAACACATGCGCTGTCCAGCTGCTGCAGAAACTGCTCAGCTGTCTCCTCTAAAACAGAAAGAATATTACCTGAAATAACCCTAGTCCCCATATGTTAACATACATGGCAGGTACACTGTTAAGAACTGCTGTGATTAATATGTACACATCCAGACTGCACAGTATTAACAGGAATAGGAAGATCTACCTGAAATGTTCTGGTTTGACTACTGAGAATAGCTGTAACTGTTAAAACAGTAAAGGAGAATACAAGCTAAACCTATAACTGTTAGGTTTCTGTTATATTTTCTTTTTAGTGTTTAGTTTTGTTTTACTCCTTATTTTCTAGTGTAAGTAGTTTTATTTTTATTGTGTTCTCTGGTTAATTCCCAGTTACTGTTTCAGTCTTGGTTCTCTTTTGTTTTTCTTTTGAGTATCCAGTTTTGCTTTACTCCTTGTTTTCTAGTTTAAAGGGTTTAATACTTATTTTTGTGTGTTTTTCTGGTTATTTTCAGTTCTCTTGGTTTCTATTTGTTGCCCTCTGCTGCCCACTTATGTTCTCCTTTTTCCCTAGCTCTTTTACTCTCTTGCTCTGTGCCCACCTGCTCCCAGTTTGCTCATTAGCCTTCTCTTTGTTTCTGTCTCCTATAAATACTCTTGCTGTTCAGTTCCTCTTTGATGGGTCCTCGTCTACTGTAACTCAGTCCTACTTTGTCCTACTCCTCTCTCTGATCCTCCTTCCTTGAGATTTTGATTCCCCTGATGGTTCTTTAGTACGTTTAGACGTGTGTTTTCATATTTTTTTATCTTTGGACTTTGGACTCCTGATTTCATGCTAGTTTGGACTTTGTTTTCTTTTTGATTTTTGGATTCCTGTTTTCCCTGTTTATTTGGACTTTGGTTTTCATCTTGGATTTTTGGATAACCTACCTCTGTTTTCAGTTTGTTTTAAAATTCCTCAATAAATCTACTTGAAATTCACCTCTGCCTTCCTGCCACTGCTTTGGGTCAATCTATCCACTAAAAAATCCTGACAATAACCATGTTTCTGCAGATTTTCACTCATAACCTTCCTATTGACTTTACTTACACCCTAGATCAGCGTTTCCCAACCTTTTTTTTTACTTGTGTTCCCCTCTGGGAATTTTGTCTTACCATGACTCCCCCCTCAACCAAAAGTATTGATGATTGTCCAAAAGTGAAATGTACAATAACTAATTACAAAATAAAGAGTATTTTATTTAACCCTTTTAACTTAAGCATTTAATTCTTTGACATGTTATTCTTTGCAACTCATATAAAAAAACAAAACATGCATAAATATGTTGCCCGGAAGCTAGTAAGGAATCAATTAAATAAATACAAAATAAAAGCATATTATAAACCTATATTTACAAAGCTGGAGCTCGTTGGAGTAATTCCCCTATTATCACATTTAAACTTGAGGAAATTGGAACAAAATACTGAAGAAAAATTCAAGTCAGACTGATTTAATTACAGGTGCTGGTCATAAAATTAGAATATCATGAAAAAGTAGATTGATTTCAGTAATTCCATTTAAAAAGTGAAACTTGTATATTATATTCATACATTACATACAAACTCATATATTTCAGATGTTTATTTTGTTTAATTTTGATGATTACAAATGACAACAAATGAAAATCTCAAATTCATCATATCAGAAAATTAGAATATTACTGAAGACCAATAAAAACAAAGGATTTATAGAAATGTTGGCCAACTGAAAAGTATGAACATGAAAAGTATGAGCATGTACAGAACTCAGTATTTAGTTGGGCCTCCTTTGGCCTGTATTACTGCAGCAATGCGGCGTGGCATGGAGTCGATCAGTCTGTGGCACTGCTCAGGTGTTATGATAGCCCAGGTTGCTCTAATAGTGGCTTTTAGCTCTTCTGGATTGTTGGGTCTGGTGTATTACATGTTCTTCTTCACAATACCCCATAGATTTTCTATGGGGTTAAGGTCAGGAGAGTTTGCTGGCCAATTAAGAACAGGGATACCATGGTCCTTCAACCAGGTACTGGTAGCTTTGGCACTGTGTGCAGGTGCCAAGTCCTGTTGGAAAATGAAATCTGCATCTCCAAAAAGTTGGTCAGCTGCAGGAAGCATGAAGTGCTCTAAAACTTCCTGGTATGTGGCTGCGTTGACCCTGGACCTCAGAAAACACAATGGACCAACACCAGCAGATGACATGGCACCCCAAACCATCACTGACTGTGGAAACTTTACACTGGACTTCAAGCAACGTGGATGAAGTGCCTCTCTTCCTTTCCTCCAGACTCTGGGACCTTGATTTCCAAAGGAAATGCAAAATTTACTTTCATCAGAGAACATGACTTTGGACCACTCACCAGCAGTCCAGTCCTGTTTCTCTTTAGCCCAGGCAAGACGCTTCTGACGCTGTCTGTGGTTCAAGAGTGGCTTGACACAAGGAATGCGACAGCAGAAACCCATGTCTTTCATACGTCTGTGTGTGGTGGTTCTTGAAGCACTCACTCCAGCTGCAGTCCACTCTTTGTGAATCTCCCCCACATTTTTGAAGGGGTTTTGTTTCACAATCCTCTCCAGGGTGCGGTTATCTCTCTTGCTTGTACACTTTTTTCGACCACATCTTTTCCTTCCCTTCGCCTCTCTATTAATGTGCTTGGACACTGAGCTCTGTGAACAGCCAGCCTCTTTAGCGATGACCTTTTGTGTCTTGCCCTCCTTGTGCAAGGTGTCGATGGTCGTCTTTTGGACAACTGTCAAGTCAGCAGTCTTCCCCATGATTGTGTAGCCTATAGAACTAGACTGAAAGACCATTTAAAGGCTTTTGCAGGTGGTTTGAGTTAATTAGCTGATTAGAGTGTGGCACCAGGGGCCATCAATTTTGAACCTTTTCACAATATTCTAATTTTCTGATATGATGAATTTGAGATTTTCATTTGTTGTCATTTGTAATCATCAAAATTAAACAAAATAAACATCTGAAATATATGAGTTTGTATGTAATGTATGAATATAATATACAAGTTTCACTTTTTAAATGGAATTACTGAAATCAATCTACTTTTTCATGATATTCTAATTTTATGACCAGCACCTGTAGTCTTACTTTGTTTTCAACATTAGTGACACCTGAGCTTGCTTTGATGAGCTCAGGTGTGTAGAACAGCTGATACCAGGCTGTTCTCTACATTCACTAGTCTGTTCCTCTGCTTGGTTTTGATGTGTGTCAAAGCTAAAAGTGAACTTAAATATATAAGAAAAATGTTTTTTTTGGCCCGAAAAAGCATGTTTAATTTTTCAGGACGTGCAGAATGAGTGACATAAGTGACCAAATTGATCATTCTAATCCTTTAGACATCCACTATCCTTATTTTTTAGCACAGTATCTATCCAGATTAAGACACATCTGAATATATTAGAATATTAAAGAAACTATTGATTTCTAGAGTGCTGTATTCAAGCATAAAAACTGAAGCTAAGTGGAGGAAAGAAATGCAAACTGGCAATAGTGATAACAATAGATTTGCTGATAAACAGTTTGGGATATGTTTATTTTGAAAAATGAAGACAGAGACCCAGAACCTGGAGGTAAAGTGCAGGGAATCCATATTGTTTAAGGTCCATCGCAAATGGCAATTAGTGTTGGTAAATTATCTGTGGTGTTGATCCTCTGTGATCCAAAGTCCAAAGATCTATGAAACATTTTAGAGCTCTCCATTCTTCATTATAACAAAATATTTTATTTAAATTTAAATTATATTTATTTTATATTCCAGCAGATGCTTGCACACATGCACACTACTAACAGCACCAATACTTAGAGAATTAATGTGTTTAGCTCAAAACCATTTATGGAGATGATCATTTTTATTTTCCTTTCTCTATTTTTTCCGAAATCAGGGACAAGAGCTTTAGGTGAAACAATAAAGTCTCTTTTTTACCACTAGATGGCACCAATTCACCCTGCACGTCCTGCTAAGAGTCATAATAGAAACGTGTTTTTAGCTCTGCTGTTTTATTATTGGGGGGAAAAAAGCTGCATGAAGAGGTGTCTTTTATAGCAGACTAAAAGAACTGCACACTCAAGAAAATTTTGAAAAAGTTGACAGCTGAGAACAAAATAAAGGAAAAAGTCTTTATCTTTATAAGAATTTGTCATGGATGCTTTAAAAAATCAGTTTCTGTCAAAATGAACTAATATGTTTTATGACGGCTCTACTAAAATGTTTGAGGAGAATCTCTGACACTGTCAGTTTAATTCTGACAGTGACAGTTTATTTGTTTTATTATTGGTGAACTTTATTGATCTCACATTGGAGAAATTTACCTCTGCATTTAACTCATCCCCTTGGGGACCAATGGAATACCATTGTGGGGCGCCAGGGGAGCAGTTGGGGGGGTTAAGGGTTGTTGCTCAGAGACCCAGAGTGGCAGTCTATGGCAGTGGGTTTCGAACTCACAACCTCCAGATACCAACCACTAGGCCGCCACTCCCCCAACTGTGTTCAAACTTAACTATGCTAAATTGATGATCATCTGCCCTGCATTTCAGTGAAGCTACCCACCATGTTGGAGTCACACAGGGAGGCCCTGAAAAAGATTGGCTCTGTCCGAATGTCCGCCCTAATCACTATATAGGGCCCTATATGGTGGTTACGGCATTTTTTGATGAGTGTTGGAATTTCTAGTGGATGAAAAAGTAGTGGACTCAAAATTTCCCACAATGCAACTTGAAAAGTAATGATCATCCATGGTAACTAGACAAGCAAATATATCCCAGAATGCTGGGGAGAGCTCTCCTCACAAAGCATCATGGGATTTGTTGTTACAGCGGCCCGCTGTCACCTACGGCTCTCGCTACCCAACAGCGCCTACAAATAACAAAGATGGCACAGGCACTACTTGACCAACGGGGAGTGAAAAGTAGTGATCATCTGACCGAACGGTCAGTTAACTAGGTCCACTATATAAACCCTGCTCTATATAGTGATGTAAGGATTTACTGTAGGGGTTAGGGCGACGTTTGGACACAGCCTTTCTCTCTGCTCACTTAATGCAGTGAAGGGGAAGTTCATTCAGAGAGAAAGTAATCTTAGTGCCAATGACAGGTGTGGCTTTACAGGTAGGTTCAATATTCAGAGTCTTTATTATCCCCACATTGTATTTTTTGTACAGCTAACAATAATCTAATAATAATAGATTAAACAAAAATCACTCCATGAACAATAAATAACACATGTTCAAAAAGTCATTCTGCTGTAAGATATACAGTAGTACATGTAGCAATAAAATAAACCATACCACTTACTGTTTTCTGTGATAATAACATCAGTGTGGGAGCTTCCATACTTGTGTATATGCTCCACAGCCTCCAGCACACTGTCCACCACCTCCAAACAGCACTCCAGGTCACCATACTCTTTACGCAGAGATCTGGCTACTGATGGACAAAATGTCATGAAGGAAGCCAAACGTGGGCCTGAATGGATCTTCACCTGATGACACCACAAAACACATAACTTTTTTAAAACTGTAAATCAGTTTTAAAATAGTAATGTTTGGAATATATCAGCTTTTGATAAACAACGAATAAATCTGTTTTCTTCTAGTTTACATTTTTTCAAAGACCAAACTTTTACTAATTATTTTCATATTGAGCAAAAGTTGGCCCAGTTCCCTTTCAGATATAGAAAGACCTTTGAATTACATTTTTGCCAATCAAGCTGAACATTATTAAATTGCCAAAATAAAAAGCTCACTAACTAAATGGGGATTCAATGGCATGTATATATATATATCTTTATTTTTACAGTTCCCTTTTAAAATGCTGAAAATAAACCATTAATTTGAGTGCATTTACTAAGCCATAGAAAAAGTGTTCAAAGATAGATACGTTGAACAAAACAAGCAATAGCTATGGTGCATTTTCATGATAGTAACACTGCATACAGCCACCTTTACTAGTTGAACAGTACCTTAAACTTATGCCACAGCTTGGAAGAAACAGACTGATGGTTATTTCATCCTTTTAGCACTCTCACAAGATCATCCGATCTTCAACTTGGATTTATGATTTCTTTTACTCATCCTGCAGGTTTTTCTACTGAATTTGGACTGTGGACTGAGATAAAGTGATACCCATTGTGTTTTGAATCTCTATCAAAACTGTTCACTGTTTTGGTTTAGTCTAACAGATACTGAAAACCTCCTCATTAAAAAGAGTTCATGATACAAAGCATTGTAACAAGACTCCCGAGCTACTGTTTCCACATATATATCTTTTGTTTAATGGCAGATCCACCTAAAGGATTTAAGGCTGCAAAACTCAGCAATCTAATCTCACTTAATTTCCATACATTATTATTACAGGTATAGTGGAGCCTTTAAGATGCTCCTTACTGTCCTCCTCTTTGTGCTTTGTAGCAAAATAGTTATGAGCCTTGATCTAGCCTGGTTTGTTACTGTTCAAGTAATGAAACCTTTTCAATTATCGCTCTGTCTGTATATATTGGTAAGTTAGAGTGGGTAACTATTTTCTTATGGGACCAGATTTTATAAAATCTATGCACACCATTCTTACTTGAAATGCATGTTGTCTATATCCTATTTTAAAGTGAAGCTATAAAAAAGAGGTCTACATGTAAGATCTTACTTTTATCCAAGGGAAACATGAAGTGATGAATTCCTCATGAAATATTCATGGTTATATTCTGCTCAGCTTCAGTTACATTCATTTGGTAAGAACTATTAAATGTACATTTGGTTTCCTACCAAAGACATGTTTTAATGTTTTGTTGTAATATTTTCCTACTAGAATAGAGGATTATTTTATTTTAAGCATTTTGACAATTTTTTTACCGGTTTTTATTAGATACATGGAAAACTGTAGACACTAAACGAGATCTGAGCATATTGGTTTTACCCTTTCACTGCGCAACATTTCAATGATCTGGTCAAACATGGGAGTCCTAAGGATGTCTCGGTGAATTAGCAGAGTTTCCATAGCATTACATGCAGCCGGGTAGTCACACTTGGAGTCTCTTACTAAATGGTGAAAAGAAAGAATCAGAGGGCAGCAATTTTATCAGGCGATGTACAGTTGATCTTTGAATACTGCTGATTAGTGTTAAAAATTGGAGCGCTAGTTTGTGAGTATAAAGGAAATAAAAAATTTTTTTATACTGTGTGGATTTACAGACCAATTTTTATGACTTTATCAACACTTGCGTCGCTGTCAACATAGATGTGGCAGATTCCTTCACTGTGGCCCAGGACAGGGATACCATTGGCTGCTCGCTGAATGTCCTGCACCAGCTGTGACGAACCTCTGGGGATGATCAAATCAATCATCTTGTCCAATCTGCAAAGATCTTCCACTTCCTCATGAGTATTCACCTGAAAAGGAGTATGTACTAAATCACAACAGCACAGGACAATCTATTTCATTTTGATTTTAGGGAAGATTACAACAGATGAGTGAAGCAGAACATTTTCATAACTCATAACAATTTAATAAAATCTTAAAATTGAGGTTTGCTTTGCATTTAGTCCCCTTTTTAATAATAGTAGAACTTAAAGCAACCAGCTGTCTTTAGCAGTCATCTAATTAGTTACTTAATACCATGATAATTGCAGCTGTTCAGGGATAAAGTTATACATATATGGACAGGTGTAAAGCAAGGTTAGGTTATAAAAAAAGTCCCCATCTTTAAACAATTTGTCACCTGAAAACTAAGAGTTTGGCACAATTGTGATCCCAACATAAATGACAGTCCACCTTGTCCTGGAACTGATGACAGCATTAATTAGTCAAGCAACCAAAAAAGCTCATGATAATGCTGGAGAAGCTGAATATATGCATACTTTAGATGCATAGAAACTATTAGTCATGCCCTCAACAGTTAGATCTGTTACAGACCTCTGCATCCTTAAGAACATCATACCAATCCTTCCTCCCAGCTGCTTCCAGCAAACTCAATTAATATTGGTAACCACGCTCTTTTTCCTGTTGGTGTCTTTTGTGGATAAATATACTTACATTTTCAGTGTGTCTATTCATTTTGCACCGATAGTATCAGGCGGTTCCCCGATACAGCACTAAAATGGTGGTATCGGTATCGGCGAGTACCAACAAATAGGTCACCAATACCATTTTGAGAGCCAAAAGTTTATTCAACTATTGTCACCCATTCCAGGTAGGCAATAAAAAGTTCTACTTGATTCGCTTTGTATTAGGTCGGCAGCAGCTTGACAAAGCCATGATGGCAATTATTTTACATCCAAGTAGTATGCAGTTCTTAATATATACACACACACATCAATTTCAAACAGATGGTATTGGTATGGTATTGGCCAATACCGCACAGCCAGGTATCGGGTATCGGTACCGGGTCCAAAATATGGCATCGGCACAACACTAGTTGTCCATTCAGTTCTTATGGTCTACTATATATATATATATATTTTTTTTATTTTATTTTTTTTATTTTTTATTTTTTTTACACAAGCTACACTTTTAATAGTCATGGAACATAAATGTGCAATATAAATAAACTTGCCTTCCCTTGTTTGCATTTTCTGTTGAATTCATAATCAATTCATCACTTTAGTTGCTCATTTTTTTAGGCCTTAAAGGTACAGCAGAGGATTTTCGCGAATTTGTGACAAGACACGCACTCCCCATTTTCAAAATAAAAATACACAAGCACAACCTTTTACACACTCCTAAGAGGGAACTCTTATTAAACGCATGCAAGATCATGCATAAGCCCATTTCCCCTCGTGCACGCTCTGTTTAAAAGTTGCTGTTTGCATCGCTCAAACAAGCTTACTTTCCAAAAGAAGATTTGCAATTTTTCCACTACAGTATGTCTCACCACTGGTAGGTGGAAATGGGGACGAGCACGTAGGACTGCATTACGTAAACATATCACCAGAATGATTGACAATTAGGAGGACCACTTATTTTGATGATCCACCCATGAAAAAGAACATCCTCCACTGTACCTTTAAGTACTTACTTCTATGAATGTATATTTCTACAAGAAATCCCACAGCAAATCTACCTTAGTAATTTACATCACTATAAATACACCATTATACCATGAATTATTGTGTTGGCAGCATCATGCAGTGGGTAGAATTTTCTTCAAGAGGAAAAGAGAAGATTTCAGCATTAATGGAAAAGGGCTGCAGCTTAATACCAGAAAAAATCTTAGATAAAACCCTGCTAGAAGCTGGAGAAGACTTGATACTGGACCCTTCTAACATTTATAGATATGGTCCATAGGTGGAAAAGGGGCTGAACAATTGGCTTCATATGAAGGGAATATCTGGGTAATAAATAGACCCCATAAGAGTTGCAGATATGTTGCATGACTCAGTGGATTTCACAGAATTGTTTGTGTTAGGTCATCTTAATCATGTCCTACAAAATAATACAATTTTTATTATAGTTACACAAGTTTCATATATGCTTCTGATAAATTAATATAATTTTTTTTTACCATTTGCACTGCCTTTCTGACCCCTTGTAGAGAAAGTGCTTCTTGTGTGAGCTGGTGCAGGACATGGTTAGTGTTGGCAGCTTCTTTCCCTCCCTTCAGCAGAAGAGCGTTTCCACTGGCTATTGCCAGTGAGGACACCTTGATGAATAAAATACAAAAGATTGCACAAAATTGCAAAAACAACATTTTTAAATTTTTAATTATCAATAGCTCAGATTACTTGCTTGAAACAGAGTCCCTTTATCTTCTACCTTTTTTTCACTTTGGTTAAAATATTGCATTGAATGTGATGCTCTTCACTTTACCTGTGGCAGGCAGTCAGGCCAAGCTTCGAAAATGACCAGCAGAACACCAATTGGAACTGTGACCTGCTCCAGCTCTAAACTCTGAGCCACCCTGGTCCTTCGTACCACACGTCCAACTTGATCCTGTGCTGCCACAGCGATCTGATGCATACCTTTGGCCAAACTGTTCAGCTTGGACGATGACAGGCTGAGACGCTTTAGCATGGCTGAAGGCAAATGTCCTGGAAAAAGGAAAAACCCTGGGCTGGTAAGAAATGCAATTTCTTGGTTAGGATTGTTGTTTGTTTTATAGAAAGACCTGAAAGCCGGTCTGCTGTCGATAAAACCAACCAGATAAATCAATTTGTGTTAACGATGGAAATCTGCAAACTTCAAACATTATTTAATGTGAGTCTTTGGCATGCTCAGAGGTTTGTAAAAGGAAAATGCAAGCCATATTACCTGCCCTAACAGCATTCTCCATATCCAGCTTGTTTGCAGCGAGAATTTCATCTTTCCTTTTAGTCAGCAGCTCTGCTAGATGGAAGACGATCTCACTTCTCTGACAGTGCAGATAACAAAACACAGACACAACACAGACTCAGAATGCATCAGATCTGTCTATTAAAGTTCAGTGTTCCTTTGTAATTGACAAAGTAAGAAAGCAAACTGTGATCCCACTAATGAAGGTTTACAATCTACAAAATGGCATACAAAAACAAAAGTTAACAGGTTGTGACTGGGATCTATTTATCACCTGGGCTGGTTTAAGAGAAGCCAGAATTCTTCCTGAGTTCCTGGCCATTATTGTTTGCTCCTCAACAGATGGACCTACAACAGAGTCCAGAGTTAGACTAAAACTATGGTGTCATATAGGATCACTGATCTAAAACGGAGACAAAAAATAAATCTGCCACAAATTAAAGCCAAAGTTCCAGTGGCCTATTGTGATCAGTTATCAGCACAAATGCTAGAGAAAAGGACGTGTAAAAGAGAAATCAAATAAAGGTAAAAGATATGTACTGTGTTGCAAAAAATTTAACTAGCAGTGTGCTGTTAATGTGCAGATGACCTGCTCTAAATTCTTTTTTCTTTATGGGAAGAAAACGATTCTGAATTTGTGAAAACAGACATAAAAGAAAACTGATAACTGACATGAGCTAGGAAAAGCCTGATTGCTACACATTAAATGTAATAAGGACACACCAGCAGGTTTGATCTCGGAGAAGAAGGTTCCCACTTTCTTCCCCTCCACTATGTCAGTGATGACTTGGCCGGTTACTTTGGGGTTCGTGCCATTTGCAATGATGACTGAGGTACCTCCTTCTAATGCCCAAAGTGCTGCCTTGACCTGCAGTGAACACAATAAAAAAGCTAATGAAGCCGCAGGAGTCTTTGTAGGAGACATAAACTGGGTGTATAGTGTGTATCGGAGGTGGAGACTCAAAGGGAGGTAGGTGTGCACCAAGGAAGTGTGTGTGTATAGGTGTGCACTCACATGTCTCACTAATGAGAAGAGTAAGGGTGGGGCTGCCGTAATTTTGTTTGACCGCCTCATTTAGCTACGCTTCCTCTTATTTTGTTTCAGTATTCATTAGTTTCCTATATTAATTAACGGATCTCACTTTGTTTGCTACAATCATCCCTGCTGCGCTGTCATAACTCTTGCTGGTGTTAATAAACAAAACAAAAGCATCCTGAATTCCAGCATATATGTAACACAGAGAAGGGGTGTGGCCTAATGACATAAACACCCTACATATTGTGTGCTTAATTATTAGGCAATTTCCTTTCCTTTGGCAAAATGGGTCAGAAAAGAGATTTGACAGACTCTGAAAACTCAAAAATTGTTAGATGTTTTTCAGAGGGGTGCAGCAGTTTGGAAATTGCCAAGCTTTTGAAGCAGGATTATCGCACAATCAAGGGGTTCATGGCAAATAGCCAACAGGGGTGCAAGAAGGGTGTTGAAAAAAGAAGATACCTCCCCATCAATTGAGAAGGATCAAGTGTGAAGCTGCCAGGAAGCCATTAGCCACCAGCTGTGCCATATTTCGGAGCTGCAACATGTCTGGAGTGCCGAGAAGCACAAGGTCCTCAATACTCAGGGACCTGGCCAAGGTAAGGAAGCCGAAAAAAGGCCACCTTTGAACAAGACACACAAGACAAAATGTCAAGATTGGGCCAAGAAATATCTGAAGACTGATTTCTCCAAGGTGTTTTGATCTGATGAAATGAGAGTGAGTCTTGATGGGCCAGATGGATGGTCACCAGGCTGGATCAGTAAAGGGCAGCAAGTTCCTTATCAACTCAGACGCCAGCAAGGTGGAGGTGGGGTACTGGTTTGGGCTGGTATCATCAAAGATGAACTTTTGGGACCATTTCAGGTTGATGATGGAGTCAAGATCAACTACTGCCAGTTTCTGGAAGACACTTCCTTCAAACAGTGATACAAGAAGAAGTCGGCATCTTTCAAGGAAAAACATGATATTCATGCAGGACAATGCTCCGTCACACGCATCAAAATACACCACAGCGTGGCTGGCCACAAGAGGTCTAAAGAAGAAAAAATAATGTCATGACCCCCTTGTTCACCTGATCTGAACCCCATTGAGAACCTGTGGTCCTTCATGAAATGTGAGATCTACAGGTATATCTACAGATATTGGTTTACCTGGTGAAAATAAACAAGCGAGATGGGTATGTATTTCCTTTTAATATGTTGCCTAATAATTCTGCACAGTAATATTTACCTGCAAACACAGACATCCTCATAAAATGGCCAAATCGGAAAAAAAACCCACATTAACTTCCAATAATATGAAACTTTGATATTAAGGAGTCTTTTGGGTTGATTGAGAACACAATTGTGGCCCAATAATAAAAATAATCCTCAAAAATGCACACAGTATATATATATATATATATATATATTTTTTTTTTTTTTTATATATATATATAGATATATATACACATCTTCATATCTCTCATCAACTCTTGTTAATTTTGAAAGGCTGAGTGTTAAGGTGGTCTTACAAAAAAATAAAACTCAATCATTGGACATCTATAGACCTCTAAATTCTCCCTTTGATCTTGTTGAAAATGTCATACTTGCAGTTTTGTCTTTTGCTCAAACGTGAAAAAATTCTGTTGGGCGACTTTAACATCATCTGGTTATCTCAATCTATAGTCATTCAGTGTAATATCTTTAATAGTGCAAATTTTACTCAATTTATTAATGAATCTATAAGGATCAACTCTCAGTCTAAATCTTTACTTGACTGGATTTAGTTACTCACTCTGATAGATTTTCAGAATCCAGTATTTTGTCTGATTGCTTCAGTCATCATTGTATTATTTATGGCCGATGAAAGAAGAAAATCCCTCGTTTGCCTCCTTGGTTCATTACAGTTCGTAAATCTAAATCTTTTAATTAAGATAATTATATTAATGACTTGTTTGACATCAAATGGAATAGACTGTGTTTAATAACCTGCATTATTGATGGATGGCGCTATTTTTATGATGAGTCTCTGAAAGTTATTAATAAACATGCAGCTGTTATAGTGATTAAAGTTAAAGGTCATCATCTTTGCTGAGTGAATGGGGAGCTATTGTATTTTTACACTTTTCTCATTCTTCTCAATGATCTTGTTTAGTATTCTCCCCATGTTCCCTAAAACCCCATCATGTGCTAGTTGCATCTCATTTAAAAAGTCAGTCCAGATGTTGTCAAGCATGCCATTAGTGATCTGTCACTAAGTGCGAGCGATGGTCTTAATGGTACTAAGGCCAAATTTATTAGGCTTGCATCTGACGTTCTCTCATTTCCTTTGGCCCATCTGTTTAATTTATCTTTTTCTACTTCTGAAGTGTTTTATAAAGGTGGTGACCAAAGATATGAATAATTATAGACCACTTTCAATTATTAACAGTATTGTTAAAGTCTTTGAAAATATTAATCTTAATCAATCATTTGACTCTATATATATGGCCAAAATAGTTTGCCCCCATTACCTGGATTTTGAATTGATTTCTCTATATTTTAAATGCACTGAGGATCTTTTTTTATGGCTTTGAAAATAATTTTTTTACTGGTGTCCTTTTTTTGAGCTCACTAAGGCATTTGACTTGGTTGATCACAATCTGCTTTTAGATAAATTACCCTCATTTGGCCTCAACAGATTAATTCATAACTGCATCATCATCAGCAGTGTCTACTTTAAAGGCAGTCATTTTGATTTTTGCATAATAAGAAGAGGTGTACCACAGTTCCTCTTTTATTTTCAGTTTTTTTTGATGACCCTTCCTCTTGCCTGCATGGACTGTAATATTTACCTACATGCCGATGATATTTTTAGTTTTATAGCATAACTGACTTTCAGCATTTTCTCCAAAATGACTTTGACACAGTACAAATATGATTTCAGTCCCACAAGCTGCTACTTAAAGAAAACAAAATCTCTTTCAATGTTATTTCTGAAGACAAAGTCTGTGCCAACTGTCTGGACTCCTCACCTATTGTACCAGTTGAGCAGTTTAAATATTTAGGTCTGTGGCTTGACTCTTCAATTTCCTTTACTTCTCATATTCCTTCTGTCTAATAAAGTTGCATATCATTTGAAGGCACTTTATCCGTCAATTGTTTTGCTCTCTCAGTAAGAAAAATAATTGTCACTCAGTTATTTCTCCCTATTCCTGATTACAGTGATGTAATTTATGAAAAAAAAACACTACTGATACACTAATATCCAACCTCATAATGGTATATATATAACAGTCTATGCAGGTTTATTCTCTGTTGTCCTTTCAGAACTCACTAATATCTGCTGCTATTAACAGCTACCTTGGCTCACTCCATCCTCCAGACTACAATTTCATTGGAAATTATCTTTTATTACATTTAAATGTATTAATCTTATTTACCCTGAATATTTAAAGCAATTCTTTATTCAGTTTTCCTCTATATATAGGCATCTTCATTCTATTTCAAATGCCTGATTGTTATCTTGGGTTATGGGCCAATTGGTGGCGCAGAGTCCCTTGCCTTCTTAGGGTCTTGGGGATTCCCTCATTCTACTGGGGGACGTCAATGTCAAAATGGGATACAACAGTTATACCTGGACAGTGTTTAAAGTGGGAGTGGGAAGCTGCTGACCTTGGCTAAGGACATTGATTAATAATCTGTCAAGCTCCTCAACGCTGTTATGCCTTCCCTGGTGGAATGAGAAGAACGGGTGCTTCAAGGGAAACATGTGCATCACCTTGACTGAAAATACCACGCTGGTAAAAAAAAACTCTACTGTGGCAAGATGAGATCTACCCTAAGTACCTTATGTCTATGAAAGTTGATGTGCGGTCGTGGTTTAGACGCCATGTCAACATCAAGAGGTACTCGTGGACAGAGCACCGGTACTGGCAGAGCATTTATCCTTCACAAGAAGAGGTCCCATAGTTCCATATGTAAAGAACCAGTCCAGGATAAAGTAAAAAATGAACATACTGTACATGTGCTTTTATTTTGATAGTTAGATAGATCATAAGAGAAACTAATACATTTAAAAACAACTTTAAAACATCTTTATCCGTCAAGCATTTAATGCTAATAATTTTTTAAGAGCGTTCTAACAAACCTTAGCTTCCATGCCCCCAATCCCAACTCTAGACTTGGTCCCGTAGGTGATGGACTGCTGGTCTCCAAGGTAGAAGATGTCAATAAGTTTGGCATCGTCTGTTCCAGGTGGGCTGCTGTGCAGACCTAAAAATATAAACAAAATCTTGATACATCTATATTCTCATATTACACAAACAGTTGTTTAAGATATAACATTAGCAACATTAAAGAAATCTTGTGAATACATAAATCTGAGCCAGATTGGGAACAAAAGCCCCCTGTTTTAATGAAGGCACTAGTAAAGTTTAATTAGAGAAATTCTGCCCAAAAAAATGGAATTTAAATGTTTTTACAATTTACCTAAATACAAATGTTCACCTTACTATATGTACTTTACGGAAATATTAGAGAGAAAATGGGATGTGCGCTGCTGGAATATGAATGTTTTCACCAGTCCTTTGCAATACCAGAAAAAACTCTTCTTCATTTATTGGCCTGTGCTCTAACCACAGTTGAAAAAAAATCCACCCCCACAGCATGATGCTGCCACCAGCAGATGGAGTGGCGTGATTGTTTGGCTTATGTTGGTCACCTGACAAGCCAGCCACATTTGCTGTTTCCTGACATTTATAAGAGAAAAGAGTGATAAACCATAGCAACCTGTTTATGTTCTGGTCAGCTGTCATGTTTATTACTCAATAAATTAGTTATATCCGTGTGAAGTTACACTTTAGACTTGAAACTAACGACTTTTTGAGATGCTTTGCGAAGACAGACTGTCATATTTAACTGCAACCCAAAATATTGTGGAAACATCCATACCTTCAACATCAGACAGCGCTATGAGCAGGTCAGCCTTCATTTCCACAGCCAGCCGTGCTGCCAGACTGTCATTGTCCTTTATGCTGATGACCTAAGAATGGCCAAAATTAACAAAAAAGGGTTTTACAAGACTGAAAATCATCCTTCTTTTATTCTGATAATAGATCCTTGCGTCTTTGCAGCACGCCTACTTTTATGTCAATAAAAACTCAAATGTATATTATATAAAATAAGAAACTATGAAAATAATAAGTTAGATGACATGAGAATGATATTTCTGAATAGAGCTACTTTACTGGTGAGAGTGTGATAAATAGTTTCTGACTACATATTGCTATAAACGTCTTGCCGTAATAAATTTGCTAATTTCTCCCAATCCTGATGTTTACACGTTGCAGATCCCAATGAAAAACATTTAAAAGTAGAGACTTTCCTGTTTTCTATGGCAAAAAATTGCGTTTATTTCTGACATGTTTTGTTGCCCAGAACAAAAATTGTCACACTGTTACTCCTAAAAGCGATGGCTAAAATCTGTCATAGTAAATGAAGTAATTTCTCTGAAATGTTCTTTTATATTATTTTTTTGGGGGGTTTGTGTAACATTTTTTTTTTTACTTGTTGTTTTTTACACAATTAAATTTTTTAAGAGATAAGGATGTCATCTCATGTAAAATGTTCTAGAGCCGCCACGAGATAAAATCATATTTTTAAAACGCTTAATAAGAAACTCAACAATTAACAGTAATCTTGGCTCCTTCAGTCCCCAACTTGTGCCCATTTCAGAATTGTAATCAAATCCATCTTTGCTGGTGAAAATTCTCAGTCATCCAGGTCATAGTCATTCCAAAAAAGTTGAAAAAGTTTAAAAAATACAATCCACTGGACATTGTTTTCCAAGTTTCACTTCCCATCCAGGAAGCTTTCTCAATTTAAAATGTTTGGATGAGAGTTGAGTCCTAAGCTTTATAGAGAAGCCCATATAAGCCTTTTTTTGGCTTAGAAAATATGCACATTAAACCAGAAGAACAGGTCCACTTCTTAGTAATGGGGAGTCATTGATGCCTTTGTTTGCCACATTATTGTTGGCCTGGCTGACCAGGCGGGATGTCTTGGACCCCTGCATGGTGATGAAGATTGAGATGATAGTGGGAAGCGATCAACTCTATCTCTGCGTTTTTGAGAGCTGAAATCTGAGTCCACCCCCTCTGTTTAAGGTTGTTTTTTCTCTCTTTGTCACAGTCTTGGTTCTGTTTTGAGTATTCAGTATTACTTTGCTCCATGTTTTCTAGTTTTATTGGTTTAATTCTTATTTTGTTGTGTTTTCTGGTTATATTTCAGTTTTCAGGTTTTTATTTGTTGCCCTCTGTTGCCCTCTTGTGTTCTCCTTTTTCTCTAGCTCCTTTCCAGTCTGCTCTGTTCACACCTGCTCCCAATCTGCTCGTTAGTCCTCTCTTTGTTCAGTCTCCCATAAATACACTCCTTGTGCAGTTCCTTGTCAAACTTCCTCTAACTGCATCTCACTGTGTCCTACTCTTCATGATTGTTTTCCCCTGAAGTCTCCATGGTTTCTGGTTGTTTTACCTTTTTTTCATGCTTGATTTTTTGATTTTTGGATTCCAGCCTCAGTTGTCTGTTTGCCTTTAATTAAATCCACAAGAAGCTCACCCCCGCCTCCCTGCCTCTGCATTTGGGTCCTTAAACCACAACCAAACCATGACATTCTTAACATAAATGGCTTCTTTCACACCCCTTTCAAACCAACTGTCTTCTTTGTCCAAAGTGTGAACCATATAAAGCTTGGAACTCAATGCTAATACAGACATTTTGAATTGAAAAATTATTGAATGTACAGCCCCCAGTTTTGCTGTCAGTACATTTACCCCCTGCAGGTCACTGTTGGGTTCTGGAGGAGCTACCACTGCATCATTTGTGTTGATAATGGGCACAATGTTCATGCAGAGTAACTCCTGCACTGTGCTGTTCAGGTTCTGCCTCTTCTTATCATTCTGAAAGTCCAGATTTGTCACCAGGACCTGACAAAACATGTAATAAAAGTTAAAAGTGTTAAGTAAGAAAGAGTTATATAGATAGACTTACATTTATGAATCAAGCTGTTAAATTTCCATGAGTACCTGTGCAGTGCAGATGCTGTACTGAGTGAACATGGCTTCATACAGGGCCATCAGGCCACTCTGTCCAGCTGCAGCACAGGCACGGGCGTCAAGCACTGGAACAGACTGCAGCACAGATGACGCTAGACCATGTTGTCAATCCTTTCTCCACAATGTTTGCAGCTTTTTCCTTACCATCTCTTTATGTTGACTATTTCCAGAATGCAGCGCCTGTCGGACACTTTGGGACAACAGGATCTCATGTCTTAACCTCTGTTTTCCAAAGGCCACAGCACCGCTGGTTACAATCATCATCTCCCTGCCTTGATTCTGAAGCATAGCCACCTAAACAGCAGCACAGATTTCAAATCAGAGAAGTGATTGACTTTTTCCGTCTAACGCTATATACAGTATATCATTAATTAAATTCCCTGAATGGGATTTCTAGCAACAATTAGAGTTGTTTTTTTCAGTACCTAAATGTGGAGTTCATAACTTGAGACTCACCTGCTCCACAATAGAAGCCAGCCGCCCCAGAGCCAGACCACATTCATCTCCACGAGTTACCACAGCACTTCCCAATTTAACTACAATCCTTTTTGCCTTACGTAGTTCACTGCGATGTGCAAAGGAGCTGGCATGGACTAAATTATTGTACTCTGTATTCAATGAGAAAATGTAATGTTTTATGAGTTATACATAAAAATACTTTTAATTTTATCTATAAACTGTATCACTGTTGATATAAATTAAACTCCAAACTTAGATCCCTATCAGTCTTCAATTGTAATTATCAATTTACCTCATATTATAACTTTATTTTTCAACATTTTCTTTACTTGATCCTTGAAATATGAACGTTTTACTGTGATGCATCACTGATTTCTCTGAATGAGGCTAAAAGAGTTTAAAGCCGTTCTTATGCATGGTAAATGGATAATAATGGCTTTTAGACTGCCATATCAGCAGTGCAAAAGCAGACAGAAAGCCTTTGCTGACACCTCTTTCTGCATCAATGAGGCGCCTGAGCAGAGGGGGGCAGGCACCAGGGACAAGCAATACCTTATAGAACGGAGATAGTCAAAATATTTTTGAAGGGACAAAATCCTTTAAAAAGTTATAAGAGTGTAATAATTTTAATTTAACCAACAGTGAAGTAGTCTATGTTTCCCTCTTTATGAAGATGAACATATTTTTGTATCTTCAAATAAAACATAGATCACTTTTTTAACTACATTTTGCAAAATACAGAGAGGTATGCAAATTAGACAATATTATTTAAGTGATGTTTTGAACTTCTAATGATTTATCTGAGATGTCTCACATGACTACATAAACTATATAAAACTCATAAACAGGTTTATGATGCATTTTTTACTTAAGATGAAGAAATATTAATAAACTTAATTATGATTTAATCAATACCTAAAACGAAATCAATACCGTAAATCTACCTCCTGGGACTAAAAGATAATAATTATTATCTCTAAAAAAAATATTTTTCTGATTTTCAGTTTTTATTTTATATATATATATGGAATAAATTATAGTATCTTTTAAGAAATTATTGAAATGACCAGGTAATTCTTTTTTTTTTTTTGTATGGTGTTTAATATTTTTACTATGTGATTTATCTGACATCAAGTTTGACTTAGTAAACAGAGGACTGCAACATTAGACACGGTATTGTAGCCTTGCCTTGTTTCAGATGTTTGGAGAGAAACTGGAATCTCTGTGTTGGGATTTTTGAGCACTTATGTAGCAGCATGTTCAGCTCCCATTTATCTGAGAAGAAAAAGCATATAAAAAGTAATGAAAACAACATGTACATGTTAAATGATAAAATATAAGCTGTATTAAAATTGACTGTTTGAGGAATATGATATAAATAAATAGGTGTTTATTCTTACTTTAAGCTTGTGATGTAAAATGTCTGTTCCTGGTAGAATCTTCTATAAAATCTTCTATGACCATTTTATTATCTCTTCATCACAGACAGGCTGTGAACAGCAGTGGGGAGCTCCACGTGTCGTTGACTCCTCCCTTCACAATAAAAGCTGCTGATGAAGCTATCTAAATCAGATCTTACAAAGGTTCTCCTCTTCTTTGTTTATCAAATTGTCGTGATAAAAATGCTTGATATAAATGAGCAATGGCACAGATAGTTTATTTACTGTGGGTAAGCCTTTAACTGCTTATAACAGAACTACAATACAAAATGTCTGTGTTACAGTCAGAAAATGCATTCTACCAACAAGGTCATCGGTTCAGGTAGGTTTTAATAAAGCTACTAGAACAAAATAAAAAAATAAAAAAAAAAGCAATGCAGAAATTATATATTTTAGAAAAGAGCATAAGACAATGATGATTTAGAAAAAAAAAAAGATACAAAATGCTAAATGCTGTGCTATTGCAAGGCTAAACGTTGTCTGTCTATGTAACTTGACAGGAAGGGAACCAGTTTATCCTGCAAAGTGCCTGGAGATAACATTTCTTTTTATCTCATGTTATCTAAATTGTTGCAATATAAAAAAAACTTTATTAGATTGGAGTAATGTCATTCAGACTCAATTAAGGTTTTCTGGTCAATATAACTTTTAATGGGTTGGTGTGTACAGGAAGAAGTAGAACCACAAAATATTAAATTCCCTTTTATGGAGATTTTAATTTGTTTCTTCTCTTTGTTTTTGATTCAATCTTTGAAGTGAGTTACTGTTTCTATGCACCATACAGTAACTTACTAAAGCATTCACAGCCCTCAATAATTTTTCAAATTTTGAGATGTTGCATCTTTAATAAAATGGCAAAAGGCAGAGATAAGAATATAGAAAGTTTTTAGAGTAAATTCCAAAAACCATGTTGCCTTTACACAAATACGTATGTCTTATTAAAAACAGCTTTTTTATTTCCATTAAAGTCATTGTAAACTCTTCTGTCAGGTTCTAAAAAGACAACAATTAATGCACTCTATTATGTAGAGATGTGGAGACTCTATTATGTATTCCACAAATCTGAATTTTATAAAAAAAAATAAAAAATACAAGAGGAGGATGACTGAAGTTTAATTTGCATTTTAAGCAAGTGATACAGTGAAAACGTACACTATATAGTATATTATCCTGAACTAACCATCCCTGTGAATAAACAGCCAGATGTGAAGAGGTGACTTTGTAGAGAATATTAGAGGGAGTAGAGAAATGCAGATTAGATGGTGCTTTTCTCCCTTCACTCTTCCTGTTATTTTTATCGAATAAAACAACAGGAAGTTTGCAAATATACTAAAATAAGAACCTTAAGTGCTTTCCGATTACTTAATACCTAAGTCAGAAAGTAAGTCAGTGTTTGTTTGTTTTTTTGTTTTTTTACACTTTTACCTGCCTGTATTGTTTTCAACTAGTTTTTCTTCCAAAAGGACATTTATGTTCCCTGATTTGAAACAAACTGGAGCCCAGAAACCTCAGCCTCATAATCCTGATTAGTTCTAAAAACGGTCACCTTTCATTTCCTCTGTGTGACAACAAAGAAGTCCAATTGATCAAAGTTTCATGTGTACCTGCACCATCCTGCTGTGGCTACATGAAAAGTAACCCGTAGGAGAGTTGACTGACACAGCTGACCCCCCCCCCCCCTCCATTGCCTCTAGGACCACAGATAACTAAATTGGGTCCACTGGCTCTGGTTAAATGTGTGTTATTCCATTATATGAGCCCTGCTCCCTTTTTCTGCTCCTGCTTTTACCCTTTATCTGTTCTTCTGTGATCCTCTTTGCTCTTTTATCTCTTCATCTCACTCATGGGAAGGAACCGTCCTGCACCTTTCTCCTGCCTCTTTCTAATCTACTTACTAGTTGACAAGGGTTTGTTTCCGTGCAGCTGTGCATGCAGCCATGTTGTGTGTTGCTGCTAAAAAGTTTACGCGCAAGTTTGTCTATTTAAATGCTGATTAGTTTGTTGTTGTTTTTTTTGCTTTTTATATCTCTTCATAGCTGGTTTAGAATAACACAGTTCATTTATTTGTAATTACTAATTCATATATTCATGCACATCATTATCTGTTTCTTATCCCTCTGAATCTAATACGATCCTCCAAGTGCCAATACAGTCAGCATTGGAGCGGAGAAGCCTTCCTTTTCTGAGTCATTATACTTATTATTTCCCTTTTTGCACACGAAATATAGAATAACATTTTGGTTTACACATGCAACAATTAAGTTACACTTGTGTTAGTGATCAGTGAGAGGCTAGTTTCCAGAACAATTATAACTTAGAGCTTGAGTAAATCACTTAAATAAAACTAATCAAGAGTCAAAATGTCAGATGGCTTTATGTTTGTTTATGTAAATGTATTTAGCTTAAAAAGCATACATACAGTAGGTCTTGCGTTTTAAGATGCAAACTCTATGATGCAGACTTAAATAAATTCATACAACCTTTATACTATTTGACCTAAAAATGTGTTTCCATCTATCTGATATAACTTTGTCTGGATATTGTTTTTTTTTTTTTTTTTTTCTTTTTTAAGAAATTATAAAGACCAGTTACTTTCTCTGCTCCAAAACTGTCTTTGTAAAAGTGTTCAGATCCAGGAGAATCCTCTTCTATTTTTAGTGGTACTCCTGCCCCTGTAGCACCTATTTATGTGCAACGCAGGACCAATACAGTAAAAAACAAAAAAAACAAAAAATACTCACAGCAACATGCTTTCACCTCCATGCTTGACAGTTACAGAAATCACAGGTTTAAGTCTTATTGTAATGGTTATGAAAGTTCTTGGTTGGGGGTACAGGGGCAATATAGTTCACAAGGATCCCACAATGTGACTGAAAAGCAGTGATGCAGCTGTTGAAACAAGATGTGGTGAAGAAATTATGATTTTCCTGTTCAAATTGGGTCAATTCCGCCATTAAGATCAATCAAAATTGATACTGATGGGTTAAACGAACTGGTCAATGTCTGTCTGTCTGTCTGTTTGTCCTATATGTGTAATGAATGGGATGTTGGATGTTAAATTTCACTGTGCATAATGCATTTTTGAAATGAACTAGAATTGGTTTTTGATATGATATTAATAGGATTTAAGTTTTTATATGATTTGGAAGGAGCTCTTAGGACAAAACAGAAAGGTAAAGAATATATTCAAGCCTGGATTTTGTTGGGTTTTTTCGACCTATACAAATTGCGTTTCCTCTTAGATTCATAGTTTGTGTCTTCTGGCTGAACATTAGAGTTTGGTTGTTCAACTGAAAATATCAAAACTAGTTTTTGATAAACAAATTGGGTCATATTAAATCCCCTAAACGTCATATCTGTTAAAAATGTGCTCATTCTGGGGTACATAGTGATGCAGATTGTAGCACTTGGTCTGTGTCTTTCTGCATTGAGTTTGCATGTCCCCCACCTGCAAGTGAGGGTGCTCTCCTTGTTCTCCCACTTCATCCCGCGGTCCAAACATGCCTACAAGTTTAACTGGTGTCTCTTAGTGGCTCTTATGTAAGAGTGTATTTGCATGGTTCTATGTCTACCTGTTGCCCTGCAAAAGACTGGGGACCTTTCCAGGGTGTACCCTGCCTTATGCCAATAGACTGCTGAGAATGTACAGTACCAGCCTCTCTATGACTCTGACAGACAAGCAATAACAGATGGATGTTTTTATTCCATTAAAGGTATAGTGAAGGATTTTCGTGAATTTTTGAAAAGCCCTTTCCACTTTTAAAAAACATGCACATGCACAACCTTGTACCCGCTTCAGAGAGGGAACGTCTATTAAAAGCGTGCAAGGGCATGCAGGAGCCCATTTCTCCTCATGCACACTCTGTTTAAAAGTTGCCGTTTGCTTCGCTTACACGAGCTTACTTTCCAAAAGAAGATGTGCAATTATTCCACTAAGTCAGACTCACCATCGGTAAGTGAAAATGGGGACGAGCACGTAGGACGGCCCTACGTAAGCATATCACAAGAATGATTGACAATTAGGAAGACCAATTATTTTGATGATCCACATGGGAAAAGAACATCCTCCGCTACACCTTTAAATGTTGTGACAGATTTGCTTAAAGAGGAAAAAATTGCTTGAATCTATAATATTCATGCGATTTATTAAAACTTTTCAATTCAACTGTACGACCTTTGTGGTATGAGAGACACACTGATGCCATATCATAGTAAAGGAGAAATTTAAACAAAAAATTTGAAAAACAAGCAAAGAAAAAGAAGCTTTAGCCAGCTGTGTATCTGGTGTATAGAGTGTGAGAAGTTTTAGAGGGGTAGACTGTGTGAAGTACATTTTGAAAGTATCTTTGCAGTTGAGAATAAGTCTGTATTAAGACAGCTACAGTACAGACACAAAGGAAAACCCCCCCATACTGAGCCCACATGAGCAAAAACTGACCTATTATCATTTTAAATAGTGAAAAAAAATCAGAGCAATATGACTGTGCCTTGTGAGAAACACACTTGTGAGGGGGAAAGTTCTGTCACAAACAAACTTTAAGGTTATACAGGAAAAGTGTAGAAGTTTTGTACAGGTACTGTACAAAGCTATATAATGGTTAACTTGTCTTTGCTGTTAATATTTAGGATTATGGTTAGCCCCCAGTGGAGGGGATACACCAAAGGAATTACATTAGATCTATGAAATCCACTAACCTCAGATTTTGTTTTCCTCTAAATTGTCCAGCATTAACTTTTTTCTGTTAGATGGAATTGTATTAACAGAAATATTGAAAAAAGATTTAAATTACAGGATACATTAAATCTTGAATTGCATTAAGTTAAAAACATAGTAGAAAAGCCTTAATGAACGATCTTCTGGTCAATTATTTTAAAAAGGGCAGCACCTTACCTCTGTAGCAAGAAGCCTATTGATATTTCCTCTTTTGTGGTTTTTACACTTTTCTGGATGAGTTTGAGTTTTTCGTTTTAGTTAATAAGGATATATGTCATGATGTATGTCAAAAAGTTTTTAAAGAACAACGGTGGCTATACAGTATTTATAAGCCACTGTAGTTGAATTGAAGTATGTATGAGCATTTAGCAATTGCCTGTTTTTTTGTTGTTGTTTTTTTAGTCTTAGACATTTATCAAAAATGTTTAACTACAAATGATATAATGTTTGGATTCCATGGGATAAATATTCTGTTGATAAATTTTTTCTTTTTTAAACAACAAAATGCATGTACAAAGCGATAAAATATTAAAGTAAATGTTTAAAATGGGAGCACCCTGTTATTTTTTATAATAACAGGGGTATAAATCATTTATATTTATAATGATATGAGTTGACTCATGTAATTTGGGGAGTAAAGAACACTTTTTAAGTCTAATTCCTAAAAGGATCATTTTGTTTTTTTCTCTAAAGATACCTAAAAAAAACATTTTCTCTCCTTCCTTTGCTTCTAGAATGTACTTGAATGCATATATCATTATTACTTGCAGTTGTGAGAAAATGCAGCTGCATGGTTGACTTAATCAAATCACTTAATTTTTAATGATTGGCTATTTAATTTCAGGGTGAATGTGTTATTCCTTATTACCGTAGGTTCTGTAAATCCCACAAAGCTGCTTATCTTGCTGCTGCAACTGTAGAACACTACAGTATCTTGTAAAAGTATTCATACTCCTTTTGCTCATTTTATCCATTCATAAACTTTAGCGCCTTTATTTATTAACATTTTAATTGATAGATCATGACTGCATTGAAGCATCATCCTAAACAAAACATGTGCATTGTTAGCTAAGGTGGAAGCTGATTTATGGTCTGGTGATGTTAAAAACAGTTCAGAAAAGTAAGGAAGCTAAATAAAAATAAAAACTGGAAGTAAACCTTCTGAATTGTTCGGACCAGAGCAATTTACCACTACATCTTAGATATACAATAATAAAACTGCATAAGCTCCTGAAAGGTACTTGTTTGGAAACTCAGGTAGGCCTATATAAGTCTTTCCAGCTGTAACAATCATTTTAGTCAGAAAAACTTGTGTGTAGTCATAAAGGACAGAGGGATAGGCATGTTTTGCCCAAAAACCTGTCGCTGCTAGTTATCATGGGTCAGAAATAAATCTAACAAAATGTGCAGAAGCTTGAAGTATTTGCTTTCATTATTTTTTCTCAGTTTGTATAGAGTAAATTTTAATTGTTAAAGTAACACTTAAGTCAGGGGCGGGCAATTCCAGTTCCTGGGGGCCGGCATCCTTTTAGATCCATACTTGATCCAATACAGATCAAACGGCTAAGTTAGCTGCTCAGTATGCAGTCACTTCCTTCAGAGTCTTTTCAGCCATCTAATGAACCAAAGGCACATATTAAAGTTGCAGGATACCAGCCCTCAGGAATTGGAATTGCCCACCCCTGACTAAATTAGATTTAGTCAGTTGAATTTTAAGTTTAAATTTAACAGCAATCAGAGTGCATTTGGTCCTAGTCTTAATTAGAGTTAAATTAACTCTTTCCATAGTGTATATGTTGCTCCAGCTGGTGCTTTGATAACTCCGAAAGAGTCAATAAACTTTGATGCATTTCTAACTCTGCAGAATTTACTGTGTATCCTCTCTTTTTTTTTTTTGCTTTAAAGGATACACACTGTTTGGTGGTGACAAATGTACTATGGAGAACATATACTTCCCTTTACACACATTACTATGATATAGAATGTCTCACTAAGAAAGAGAAGAAGCATATGTCTCAAAAATGTATCTTTTAGACTTCAATGAAGGACCTGAAAGGCTATGAGAGTAATGCATTAATGGGTACAGTGTTGGAGGAAAGCCCTTGATGGTATCAGTTCTGCAGGACAGAAAACAGAGCAAGTGAGCAAATGCTATCAGACAACATGAGCCAAAAGAAAAACAGGATCGCTATCTCTGAAAGAGTTGCCCAAAGCACATATGGACACATAATAGCATAGATGCACTGACTCACACAGGTATATAAGTCAACTTTCGAGCGGCAGCAGCACACCTGAACACCGACTAACTGCAGCTAAGGAGCTAAGACAGAAGATGATGGAGGAAAAGGGAAAAGAGAATGGCATTGCAGCCATGGCAGCCTGTTACCAGAAATTCGATCCTGCTGCATATCTGCAATACAACTACACTCCACCACGGGCAGATTTTTCTAGAAAAGACAGCATTGTGCCTTGGAAACTGGCCTGTCTACACAGAGCTTTTACTGAAGGTAATATGTGTATCATAAGGTAATTTCCATTATAAAGATGGGTTACCAGCATACCCATAGCATTTTATAGTGTATTATAGCAGAATTATAAAAACATTTTGTCTTACTTTTTCTTGGCATTAGAAGTTGGGTAAATTTGACCTAAAATTATGTCACTTTTTTACAGCAGAAGCAGAAGATTTCTCTCCTGTTAGTTCTCTGATTTTTTTCCTCCCCCATATTTCTACCAGGGGATGTGAGTGGTGAGCTCCTCGTGGACATCGGCTCAGGCCCCACCCTCTACCAGGTGATGAGTGGCTGTGAAGTTTTTAACAAACTGATCCTGACAGATTTCTTGGAGATCAACCGACAGGAGCTGAGGCGCTGGCTCCGCGACGAGGGAGGATGCACCCTAGACTGGACCCCTTACTTAGAGCACGCATGCAAGCTGGAGGGCCGACGGTATGAAAAACACTACTACAAACAACTGGGACTTGATTAAAGAAATTATACCTGTTCAGCCTTTATGCATTTCAGATATTTTACAATACTGTGTATATTTGCCAGGAGCCGGATTTGACCTGCCATGGCAAATTCTCCAGCCCTCAAGACCCCAAAGGCATATGTTTGATTAAAATGTACAAGGTGGTTTAAACTGCTTAACATATGGGTTTAAAGTTATAATACTAGAACACAGTGAAAAAATAATGCATTAATTTCTTACACCTACTTAAGCATATTTAGTTACATTAACACCATTATTTGATGTTAGTACGTCATAAGACATGAAACAAACTAAATATGCTTAAGAAGATGGAAAAAAGGATGCAATGCCCTCTTTGTTAATTAAATTATGAAGTTCCATCTATACAACTGCAATTGGCCCTTTTAAAAAACTTCTAAACACTAAGTGACCCAATATAAATATTAGTTTGACACTCCTGCCTTAAAGCCTATATGTGACAAACTGAAACAAAATAGGGCATAATAGTGAACTGAAGGGATAGATAGATAAATAAAACTAAGAAAGTGTGCCATGCACATCTGTTCTATCAGTGCAACCACTCTCTGTCGAAGTCTCCTTCTTGGTTTATTAAGCTGAATTAATTGTGTAATTAAAACTCAACTATAAATCTAAAGTGTGGTGGAAGGCTAACACTCCTTGGTGATGCATAGTGTTGGCTGCATCATGGCACTAAGCTTTCTTAAGCAGAGCAAATGAAAGGTAAGCTAGTAAGAGAAGATGGGTTAAAGTTATCGAGGAAACCTAGAAGAAAACCTGCAAGAGGCAATAAAAGACTTAAGCCTGGGGTGGATGTTCATGTTTCAGCAGAAATAATACCATAAGAGGAATAGTGGAGTCCCAAGATGTCCAAATCTGGTAGAAACAAACTGTAACTACAGTACATCCTATTGCCTTAGTCTCTGTGCAAATCCAGTGTTTTTTAATCCATGTAATTTTTTTTTTTTTTTGCCATTTTAGAAACGTTAATTTCTTTGAGTCAAACTAATAAAACAAATCAAATTAGAAAACTTAGGGAGGAAGTTTCAACTTGACAAAATATGGCAAAAGAAAATCATCCTCACAGTGGGCTGCTTCCACCTCTAAGTATGAGGAGGACCAAGTTTAGATGCAGTGATGTGATACTTTTTGATGTTTAACACAGGTCTCAAATAACAGTGCTAAAGAGCCACTTTCCTAGAACTTCCATATCGAGCCACAGACCTATGCACCTGAATAAATGGCTAAATAACTTTCTAGTACGGAGTCAACTTGCAGAGAATCCTTCTAATAATTCCTCAAACTTAATTTCCAAAATCACATTGGGAGATATTATCCATATATAACATATACATTCATTATATATAAAAATACTTAAGCAGGATACTGGATGTTTTGCATGACTCTTTATTCCCCTGTGCTGTTTTTCCAGGCCCTCAGCTTGGCCAGAAAAAGCAAGCCGGATGCGTCGTGTCATCACAGATATCCTCCCTGTTGATGTGCACTGCTCTCAGCCCATCGCCGCTGAAAGCCTTCCTGTAGCTGGGGCCGACTGTCTGGTGTCCTGCTTCTGTCTAGAAAGCGTTAGCCCCGACCTCCCTACCTTCACCAGGGCATTGGGTCATATTGGGAAGCTGCTACGTCCTGGTGGCCACCTTATGCTAATTGGTGCCCTTGGAGAGAGTTATTATTTTGGTGGTCCTGGGGTAAGAATCCCTGTGGTACCCCTAAATGAAGCCCAGGTCTTAGATAGCTTAAAGGAAAGTGGTTATACCCTGATCAGGCTTGAAGTGTACACTCTGCCTCAAGATATGCAGGTTGGAGTTGATGATGTGACGGGGGTGTTTTTTGCAAAGGCAAAGAAGGATTAATTAAGGTAATTGCATGAATGCAGCTACACTGTCATGATATTAGTTATCGGGCAAGTATAGATGATTTGGAAGATATTTTATATTTACTTTTGCTGGCATGAAAGTCTAAATTTAATCTTAAATCATTGTCACAATTTTACCATTATATCAGAAGGAAGAAAATCCTCAACAGTCAAAGAAAAGAAATGTTTTTGTTGTATTTTTCTAAACCAGAAGATAATGAGAATCAATTTAGCTATTAAAGAAGGAATAAAAGAATTAAATAAGCTAAATATTTTTTATGCCTCTCACTGAGGATCAATGGTTAAAGACTGACCCCTGCTGGTGAAATATTACTACTTCATTTTTAAAATTGTAAACCTTGACAGGAAGCTCACCCCACAAAGATTTGAATGAAGCCATTTAGACGTGCTGTGTCATTTATTAACAATGCTCTATAGGCTAAAGTTTCTTCTATCTGTCTGTACCAATGTTACCCTTGTTAAAATGAAAAAGTCAGTTCTGTTTTTCACATAAATATGTTGCCTGTGTATTTAGATATAGAGAAAGCTTACATTTACATTAAAAGCCTTTAAAATATATATTAAAATCAATGCAAAAATAAAGGTGATATGTAATACTTCTCTTTGTGAGGAAATTCATTTGCATCTCTAACATGTACTGATGTTTAATTAAATATATTGACTATCAGCTGTTGCTTTATGGTCACTTTAATCATAATCAAGTAGATTACTAAGTGTGTTCGTCTGAGTCTTTCTGAAGGATAGTGTGTTTATATATCATCAGTCACTATATAACAATCCTAAAGTTCTGGAAACATATAAAAGGCAGCTGGACTTCAAATCACTTCTCTGTGATATGTTTTAGGCCCCATTGGTAACTCTTTCAGAAATGTTCATTTCCAGAAAACACTTGGGATAGACATAAAATCTTTGGCCTATGTTTTAAAAAACTAAACCTTTATATACCATGAAACTTTAAAAAGCCATAAATTGTCAAATATAATCGGACACAGATTTAATATCAGAAATGGAGTCATATACATTAATCTGGGTTTAATGAACAGATCTGTCAGGATAATTATTTAATAAATTACTTTATTTCTGACCATAATTCTCACTCTTGTACTGTGCCTGTCCCTATTAGGGGTTCAATTCACTTCAGTTTTACATATATATATATATATATATATATATATATATATATATATATATATATATATATATATATATATATATATATATATATATATATATATATATATATATATGTCGTGAATTCGCATAAATGCAGAATGGGGCAGAACTACAGTGCTTCGATTATTGGACCTTAGCGCAGCATCTGACACTCTTGTTCACTCAATTCAATTAGAGTGCCTCTGAAACTGGGTTGGACTTTCTTTTGGAGCACTGACCTGGTTTTAATTCCACTTTTTTGCCTCAGTAGGTAACTTCAAATCAGAGGCTATAAAAATAACCTGTGGTGATCTCCCAAGGGTCCATCTTAGAGCCCCTTCTATTCAACATCTACAAGCCCCCTCTAAGTCAGAAGTTAATAAATAGAAGTTATAATAACTATGACTTTGAATCCATTCAAGTGCTCATGACTCATAGAAGAGATCATTGCATGGATGTCCCAAAATTTTCTTTTCTTCAGTTGAATCGAAACAAAACTAATGGTTTTTGGACCAAAAGAAAAGCTTTCAAAAGTAAGCACGAACAAAAAAAATAAAATAAAGACCAAAATCTGGGTGGTCTCAGACCTGAACCTTCAAAGAAACATAACAACAGAAAAAAGTCAGTCTTCTGTCACCTATGTTAGTTATTGCATCCATCTTTCGTATAAGTGTTTACTGCTGTCTGCACTGGTTTGCATAAAAGTCCATTTGAGTGCTAAAGTTGATCCAGAATGCTTTAACAGTTGTTTAGTTCTAGCAGGGTTTACTTCTTATGTTTCTCTAATTAGGAATTTACACCCAGAAAACTGTAAAAGCGCTGAAAACCCTCAGCTGCTTTAAATCATGATTAAAAATGTCTTTTGACTGTTCTATTTGAACATTATTTTATTACGTTTTTAGTCAAACTTTCCTTTTTAATAAATAATTTTGTCTTTTTTATATAACCCTTAAATATTCACTTTTATTCTCTATTTATACTGCCTCTATGCCACATCAATGTACTTTTTTTTATGCACGGCACTGTGTATTGTCTTTCCACTGAAAAGTGCTATACAAAATTATTCTTGCTTTTCCTTACATTGGACTTGCCTTGCTTATTATAGTTTATTTATCGTTACTTATTTGCCTCATGGGTTTCAATTTTCAGTCATACACTGGAATATATTTCGGGATCATTAGGCAAGGTATTCACAGGGCTGTACTTTTTCCCTGTTTATTTGATACTTCTACTCCAACATGCCTTTGCATATCCTCAGTCATCCAGGTCATGGCAACCATAAAACAGGCAAGTTTTTCTGTAAATATTTCCACACCTATTAAGGAGTCTTACTCAGTTAGTTGTGGTAGGCCATTTGAATCATGATAAGTTTACTTGCATAACCTCTTAGAAATGATTTGCTCGACTGAGTTACAGATTCTTAGAAGTTAAAAATGCGATCCTCGCCCTCTATTCAGTGATTGGCGTTTTTTTCTTTTAACAACAAAGAAAATCTTTAGGATTAAGAAATATCTATTTTTTCTTCTAATTTTGTCACATTTAATGCCCCACAAATTCATATTATTAGCTATTTTTTCAAGCAATTTTATATTATTAAGTCCTTCATTTATTTCTGTATGTATTTTTAATTATGACAGTTATGTGGTTCCTGTTACAGATGGCAATGAATTAATCTCTTTCCTATAAATTCTGCATACTGTACAATACCTCATATGACAATTTGAAAACATTTTTTGAAAATTTCTGCAAATGTATTAATCATATAAAACACAAAGTTCCATACAAATTCCCATTTTCATATCATATAATTTTCATTCGTATTCACAGCTTTTACCCAATACTGTGTAGATCCAGTTTTGGCAGCAAATACAGCCTCAAGTCTTTGATCCCACAAGCTCAGCTCACCTACAATACCTTAAGACAGTTTGCTCTGTTCTTCTTTGCAGTACATCTCAATCCCCATTAGGTAGGATTAGAAACAATTAGGCAAAGCCATTCATATCTTTCCTGATTACACAATTGGATGAAATCATTACTCAGTCTTGACCACTCCTGGACATTCCTGGTTATAACCTAAATAAACTGAACAGAATTATTGTCTGCAATTAAATTTAATACAAGAAATATTTCTTACCTAGCATTTTTGGATTTCTTTATTCAAGAAATAAAAGATTTTATCAGAGAGTTTCACAGAAACAGTTTACTGTTGTTTTTTTAAACAAAGAATAAATGCATCAGATTATTTACATACAAACTAATAAGTGACTACCAACTCTTTACAGGTTATTAGTTTAATCATGTAGGATTTCCATCACATACCAGCTGTAAAAATATGCTTTCCAGACCAAATCACATTTATTCTAATCACCGTGTTAAAACAACTAAAAAAAGAAATGTTGTAGTACTGTAGATAAACGTTGCAGCATTAGCATGACTAGTTGAATAAGTCTTCATAATGATTATTCTAGCATCTGTTTTCTACCTCTTTCTTTCATCAACTTTGTGTACAAACATACATCAAGGCTTTTCAGCTCCTGAGTAAAATTTTGGATAACTGATATCTGTGACCATAACTAGAGTATGTCTATCAATTATTATTTTTATTTGATATAAATGTTTATATCTTAACGGCACTTCAGGGTTGTTTTGGAACAATATGTTTGATTTCTTTTACATAAGTAGACATTTGCTTTTCACAATCCTCAGACTGTCTTGAACTTTCATTTATCTTTTTATGTGTATACATTGGATAGGGCTGGTTCCAATACAATTTCATCTAGCCTTCTTTATGGGATAATATAACCCAAAAAAAGCATTTACTCTGTCTTGTACAGCGGATGTTCAAGTTTTAGTTTGTTCCTTTGTATCTAATATAAGTTCTAGGGAGTCAATAATGTTTTAACAGACAGCTTTTTCTTTGTCAGGGTTAGAACAGATACAGATTTCTTAAAGTTAAAGTCTTTCACTTTAACTGTTCTCAATTTTGCAAGAAATAAAACTACAGTATGAATGTTGCCTGAGCGATGATCACCAACATCTAAAATAAAACTGTTTCTTTTTTTTTTTATCACAAGTAAATATGTTGTTTCTATCTACAATCTTTAGCACGGAAAGTAAAAAAGAAAACACAGATTGTCGTGTATTAAAAATATAATATGGCCACCCTGTTCTGATGTTTTAATTTTTTTTCTTATGTAATTCATTAATAACTGATCCATGCTAATGCTTTCTTGGCTGGCTAGGACATGTTTTCCTTTGCACGTATTAGGTTAAATTTTACCTTACATCTGCTCATTTATATTCTTCCTTAATGACTGTGTTTTTCCTCACCTTCTTTTTCCACATTCAGCTTTATAGCTGCACGCATGAGCACAGACATGAATACCTAAAAAATAAACCTATCCATATGGAAAAAAGGTCTGTGCAGGTGGTGAACATTTAGAGTTCTCTGTACACTCTCTTCAACAGTTCTGTCTTCCTTTGTCGTTCTCGCTTTTTTCCTCCTCCAGTTCTTTGGTGGCATCTTTGGAGAGATCAGCTCTTGTGGCTAAACATCCCAGCAGGTCACAATGATCTGAGAGTGGTTTGCTTTCCTCTCCTGAATCTGGTGTAAAAGAAGTTTCCACAGTAAATCAAATTCTTTTCAGTCAAAGTTTCAATGTTAGAGGAAAATTCTGCAACACTCACTTATGACTGAAGGTATCTGCTGCTTCTCATCATCCCTGTGTTGCTCGTCTTCAGAAGAGGGCTCTTCCCTATCAAGAGATTTCAGGTGTGCCTCTGCCATCATCTGGACAGCTAGAAATGCAAATCAATAAAAGCTATTTTACAGCTAAACATGAACTTACTTCTTTAACACACAATAGAAGAATGGGAGCATAGGTGGTCTATAGTAAAATGTTGACTTAAACTAATTGCACAGAGATAAAACAAATATGGAATAAAAATTAGGACCTTGATGATCTTATCTTATTTGAATGTTTCAATAACAGACAGATCAGATCATTAAGGGATTGAATCTAGTTCAGCCTTGAAGGAAAAAGGCTTGACCAATGACACAGTCTGGATAACTGTCCAACTTGGGGATTAGTACATACAGTAATCACTGTAATAAAAAAGAAAACACAAAATTATGTTGGAGGCACATCAATGTTTTGTTTTTTTCCCTATTATCTCTGGCCAAATTATTAACCAGAGGAGCAAAGAACCACTTCCAGCACTGCAGGTTACAGGCATCAATGTGTATCTTTCAGATGATTTAAAACTAGCGGGCTCTCCTGTGTCAGTGAAGAAGTTCCTAATAACAGACATGTTTTTTTCTTGCATCAATATCAGTGTTATGCATCTTTGTGTTTGCACAAGAGAGCATGCTGCAGCTGCAGGCCCTAATCCAGGATGATCCAGAATGGGCTCACAGCTGTTTCCACTCCTAATCTGACATAGCACACTGCTTCACACTCTTATAAATGACACAGAAACTATCATATCAGGCTGTTTTTGGAAACAAATGTCTGAACTCTGGCAGCTGGGAGCCATGTTGCATTAGACTTCAATTAAACATCACAATCTTTTTTAGTTGTTGCATTATATGTTATAAAAATGAGAACTTCTTTGCACTGTGATTTAAAAAAGATGCATTTACCTTTGAGTGAGGGTGGCTGGTAGGTTGCCATTTGAACCAGTTTGGCTTTCATGGCTCCATTTTCACCCAGAACCCACTGCAGAAATAAAGCATGTGTATGACTGTTTGAAAAAGACCATATGTTTTATGATTACATCAGTGGAGCATGCCAAAGAGAGAGCCAAGATATTAGTATTGTTTCCCGAAAAAATATATATAATGCAGAATTGACTTTAAGATTTGTAACATTTGTAATGTATTTTAGAAAATAACGGATAGCAATTAGTTTTTTATTTCAAAGTTAAAAAAAAGAACCTTTTCTAGTTTTATGAAGATCAGTCAACACACTGTGGTTTTCCAAAATATCAGTTGAGCTTTTATTGTTAATCATTTCATTTTCTTTTTTTGTCTATTTATCTTTTGAAATATTTGGTTAATAGAAATTAAAATTGAAAAAAAAAATTGCTTATTTATTTAACAGAAGAGCTGAACTGCTTTTTTATGCATTATAAAAGCCTGCCATCAAAACCATTAGTCTGCTCTCCTTTCACGTTTCAATAAACAGTGTTTTGCAGTTGGACAGCCATTTCTTGGTAGTTTTGAAGTTCTACCATTTCACTTTATATTTTCAGATGATCAACTGCACAACGCTGGTTTCTGAATTATATCTGTGACCCTTCTGCTTTCCTCATTGGCTTCCATGGTGCCGTTTTCTCATCAATGTTCTCTAAGAAAGCAATTTCCGTAAAAGTTTAAAAAACAATCCACTGGACTTGGTTTCCAAGATTTGAAGACATTTCGCTTCCCCTCCAGGAAGCTTTCTCAATTCAAATGTCTGGATCCGCAGTGAGTTTGTGTCTTTATATAGACAAGGCCTTGTATTGCTTGGAAACATGCCAATTGAAAGCAACGAGCGGGTCGTTTGGTTCCATTGTTGGCCTGTAATATCTAAAACCTGTCTATGATTCTTAAGGTCAGTCGTTAAGGAGGTATTGTTCACCGGCTGAAGAGAGCGGCTGAGAAATCAGAATCAGAATCAGAAATTTTGATTCTGAATCAAAGCTTGTTGGAGGGGAAGCGAAACGTTTTCAGATCTTTGGGACCAAGTCTAGTGGATAGATTTTTAAACTTTTACGGAATGACTATGACCTGGATGACTGAGAATCTTCATCAACTAAGAAAACAACGAGCCAATTAACCTAGCAGTCATGTGTTTGGGATGTGGGAAGAAGTGGGAGTGCCTGGAGAGAACCCATGCATGCTCATGAACATGCAAACTCCATGCAGAAAGACCCCAGGCTGGGAATCGAACCCGGAACCTTCTTGCGGCAAGGCAGTAGTGCTACCCACTGCATTACACTACTGAGCAGACCATGTTAATTTCACTGTTTTTTATATTGGACATAGGCATTAATTGTTCTTTACTGAATACCATTTCAGCCTGCATAAAGAAGAAATGTCCTAAATAGAATCTATGTCAGAAAGGGTCTATTTTAGGCCTTTATTTTCAGATGATGAACTGAACAATGCTGGTTTCTGAACTATATCTGTGACCCTTCTGCTTTCCTCATTGGCTTCCATGGTCCGTTTTCTCATCAATGTTCTCTAAGAAAACAATGAGGAGTTAACAAACTCCTGATTGATGCAAACAATTTCACCCTGAAGTGAAAATGTTTGTACCTAATTCCCTTAAAGGCGTTCAGAGTACAGGAGCTGAATACAAATAAAATCCCCCTTTTATCTTTTACCTTGCAATTATGAGCAATTTTTTTTTTTGGTCTTACATATGAAATTCCAATAAAACTATTTAATCGTTTCTTTAGTTTTAGTGGGACAAAATGCAAAAATGAAATGCTTTGTAACTAATTTCCCTTATGTTAGATTCTAAGCAAAATTTAGAAAAAACAATTTATGTGTTAATTAAGTTATGGCTAACATTTTAGAATTAATTTGCATAAAAATTGCAAATATTCAAAGGCCAACCTTTAACACTGATTCCTATTAAAAGTCTTGCTATTTTTTTACACCATGACAACAGAAGACTAAAGTTTAAGACAAATATCCCCAATTTACACACCTTCTCCAGAATAACTAATTATTTGCAATGTGTTGTGGTGAAATATTAAAGACTAACAACAATAAAAAACCTACAACTCCTCATCATCAAAGAAGATGAAAGTTTTATAGGAAACTTTTCTGGTTTGATTGGTAGCGTTCTCTTTTATACCTGATGTGAGCTGCTGTCTTCCTCTGGTGATGGGGGGTCTGACAGTTTGAAGAGAGTGGCAGGTGTTGGCCTCCGGCGTCGAATCTTTGCAGAAACAAAAAGAGAATTCTCTTTTTTTTATTTGGTTCTATCTAACTATGGTGTGTAAAGCTGTGTGCATTTGCATTTTTCATGAGTTTGCACTGAGCAAATCTCCAAACACCAAATACAAGTTCAAGACCTGACTGATCATCACTAACGCTAACTGTCAGAGTTGTTGAACAACAGCTTTTCCCAATGGTTTTGTTTTTCTTATGATAAAAACTACATATGACATCATTTAAGAGAAAGCAATAGACTATTATTCTGTTGTCACAAAATAAGGTTTCAATTTGTTGAGATGAGATGTTTGTGCTTTCATCTGTATAAGCTATTGTACAAGTTCTATATAGAATAACCTTCCACTCTCTGACACTAAAGCAGGGATGCACAATATACTGTATTGGCATCAATATCGGTATTGGTTGATCATTTCATTTTAAGTATAACAAGTAAAACTGTGCCTAATTTAAAGCTGACAGTGCTTTTTTTGCTTCAGAAGGTGGATGGAATGGTATGGATAATGTGTCATGATTTTACTGAAGTTCAGACCCAAATGCTGAAGACCAAACAGGGAGACCAGGAGAAAAGGTTTAACAGGTTTTATTGAAGAGATAATGCAGAGAGAAGTGTTGCTCTGAACACTGCTCAACCGGAACTGAAAAGTGAGGGGAAGACACAGCGATTAGTTCAGGCTCAGTGGGAAATTTGATTCGTGAACTTGGAGAAGAGGATCTGGTTGCTGACTCACATTTCCAGAGAAGTTGTTGAATCTTTGACTCCAGTCTGTATGCTGTTGTTCCAGTGTTTGTCTGATTCGGTGGAGGGCGGAACAGGGTTTACCCAGAATGCGGTTGTTTGTAGGTGAACGGAGAAGCTGACTGCCACTCAGATTTCCTGCGGTACTTGAACGGGTCGTAGTGGAGATGAATCCCTTTCTCAGTGTGAAGCTCAAACGATCTCTTGGGGAAAGTGGGTCCAAACCTCCTGTTTGTAACCCCAGCTCAGCTTGAAGCTCTGTTGATCCTTCCAGGGAGAGAAGGTCCGAAAAATCCAGTTTGCAGGATGACTTCCTGCCGAGAGGCAAAGACAAAAACAATGTTAAAACTCAGGTTGACAAGAACTCAGTTTGACTCAGCAAAACTCAGCTTGGCTAGAGTACCCAAAACTGGCAAACACTCTGGCGTCGAGGTAGTGGCAGTCAGCAGCTTAAGAACACTCCGTTAACGAGGAAACCATCAGCAGGTGTGTAAGGAGGCGGACCAGAACCAGGCGCCTCCTGGTGGAGGAAGGGAGACAAACACAGAAACACAAACACACAGACAGGAGTCCTGACATAATGTAATATTTGTTTGTTCATGTGGCAGTGATTGTGATGCAGCTCAGGATTATGGGTGTCATCTAAAAATGTATAAATATTGCTACCACCAACGCGGTTCATAGCCCGTTCTGGTTCCCAAGCGTGTTTTCGTGTTTTCCATAGCACAAACCCTTTTTCAACTCTATTCTACCGTATTCTTCAGCATGAAATGATGCATTACTTGGAGGTGGCTGCAGAGGTATTATAAAGCTGGTTTCCATAATGTTTTCAACCAACTGAATAATTACAGCTCTTATAGTGCTGTTTAAATGCCCCAGACATTCTTTTAACATTTTGAATTTTTCTCCATTTTATCTATCTTTTCAAGAGATGCACACAACTACTTCCTATGTCAAAAACAGTGTGACTTATAATACTAAGAGTTTTGTGAGGAATAAAGTATAAAATAGATATCCTGCATGTAACTCCAGGAGTGGTGTTCTTTTCTCTTTCTTTGAAATTTGTTTGAAAAAAAACTTTTATGCAGGAAATCTATTTTAGTTGGAGTGGTTCTGAAGCAACAGTTCAGTTAGTTAAAATCAATTTTTAAGTCATTTAAGTTAAGTAAGTAGGCCTTTAGTATGACCACTCCTAAATTCCACAAGAAGGTCAAATCTCTCCACCAAACTTCTCTGTCCAAGTCCCTGTTACATGTTAATGCATTACATTCAGTTTTAAACATTTTTACAGTTCAAATATATTTTCCTATTATTTTTTCCCTATCCAATGAAATATTACAAATTATTTAATAAATACTTATTTTTAACTTAACTTATCTCAAGTATGTTATATTGTCAGTGCAGTTGAAAAATAAGGATAGAATACAGTGGTGGGCTGTGAGGACCTTCAAAGCCTTCTCTGCTGGCCTAAAATCGATCAGAAACACTAACATACATTCTCAACCTAAATTTTAATTTTCTTCTTTCCAGCTCTATTATTTTATTCAAAACAATTAATTCTCTTAATGTTGTAACGTTTCTCTTGATTACTGAGCTGCTTTCATTAGATTTATTTAGTCTCTGACATCCTTTCTCTGCCATCCACTCCACATCTCCCATACCTTTTGGCTCTTTGGCCATTCTTTGCCTCCCATTCTACATTTAGAAATTCTAGGAACCACTGCAGATTCAGAGTGAAGTGAGTGTTTAGAACACCAGAAACAATCACATTTCTAATATAAGATGGAGCTTGGTTGTTTAGGGCTTTATAGGTGAGAAGGAGGATTTTGAATTCTAGTCTTGTCATGATTCCTGGCATGAGTGCTGGTTTGATTCAGGATCCAACACACCTGTCAGCTCTGCCCTGTTTCCACTCAGCCTCCACAGGTTTTCCCTCTTACCTAACTGTATAACCAGCTCTCAGACCAGTGACTAGTGTCAGATTATTGCGAGTATTCCTGTTAACCTGCCTGACCCCTATTGGACCTGTCTTAGTGTCTTTTGGATCTCTGACCTGTATTAGTGTTGCAGTTGCTGATTCTGGTGAATCTCTCCCAACCAGCGCCAGTTTCATTCCAATAAACTGTTTAAACGTCCCTTGCATCGGTCTAATCTGGGTCTTCCATTATCTGGTCATTATAATTCTGGATTTAACAGGAAGTCATTAAAATGAAGCTAAAAATGAAAGAAATATGTACTCATTTAAAAGTTTTTATCAGAACTATAGCTGCAAAAGGAAGAAATATAAAAATCTTTGAATGCAAGTGAATTTTATTAAAGACGTTAAGCTTTGGTCTCAGATAAGGAGAAGCATGAGAACCAAACAGGAAGTGAAGCCTCTGCTATGGAAGGATTTTCTTCTCTTGTGTCAATTTCCAGATGATGTTGCACAGTTTTCAATGGCCTGAAGCTTTTTCTACAACTCCTGCACATGTAGGGACTCTGGCGTGGATATGTAGATGGGTTCTCAGAGAAGATCTACAAAGCTTTTCCCACACTGATGGCAAACGAAAGGCTTTTCGTCGGTGTGAATGTATAGATGGTGATTCAAAGTTCCTTTCGTACAGAATTGCTTCCCACAGTGAAGGCAGAGGAAAGTCTTTTCGCCGTTGTGGGTGGACAGATGCTGATCCAAATGTCCACTCCGCCTGAATTGCTTCCCACACAGATGGCAGAGGAAAGGCTTTTCACCAGTGTGGATAAGCAGGTGTCTTTTCAGACAGTAAGATCTCTTAAAACCCTTTCCACAGTGGTCAGAGCGATGTACTGATTTCTCAGAGATATTCAGCTGATCCAGGTCTCTGTTTTCCATATGCTGCTGACCTTCACAAAACTGTTCATCCACATTACTGATATCCATCTGTAAGAGAACAAAAACCAAAAATCCATCAATTATTTGGCACCACTGAATATAGTGTAAACCCCTTTTGATGCCTAATGTGGACCAAAATTATGGTTCTTCACAAGAAAATCTTCAACTCAGAATGACTTACTGGAGCTTGAGACATTGCTTGGATGTGTATGTCAGTGTTTTCTCTTTCTTTTTTGACTATCCTGCTTAAAGAAGAAAAGTTTAGTTATTGATTAGCTTTTACATGACAAAGTCCACACATTATCTTCAAATTATAACCGTACCACTACACAAAAAGCAGTCAAATAAGTTATTACACAAATAAACATATCATGAAAACCAACAGTTAGTTGCTATGTGCTAATGTTTTTAATTGATTTAATTTCCTCTACCTTGTGGTTCCCTAATTAAATCTTTATAGCATCAGTCTCAAAAGAGAGAGTTTTCTTACCTTTAATGCTGTGAAGTTGACTGCTCGCCTGCTATCCGTCTTTCTACGAATAAGAGATCTAAACTTTTAAAAAAAGCTTCTTTTTATTTTACTGTAACCAAGGGTTAAAAACATTCTAAAAAGTCCATATTTATTCAAAAGAAAATAAAAATAGATGGCAAGGCATTACCTCATACATTCAAGCACTGGTATCGGTTATACCTGTGCTTGTTGCATTTTATATTTGAATAGTATAGGTCGTTTCTTCTGTTAAAATGTGAAAGTGGTGATATTGACACCCATCATTGCAAATTTATATCCAAATGTATCTATACATATATATATATTGTACATATATATATATATATATATATATATATATATATATATATATATATATATATATATATATATATATATACATATACATATACATGTATATATATATATATATATATATATATATATATATATATATATATATATATATATATATATATATATATATATATATATACATATATATGTATATTTATATATATATATATATATTTTTTTTTTTTAAAGAGGTGGACTCGCCATGAGACGCCACACTCAAGAAACTTCATTTTCTAATTTCTTTTACCTGGAAATGTTTCCTTAAACTCACATGGCTTTCTCTGCCTGGTCTCATTATCTTTAACTCACAAGACTACTTACAACCATCCAATCATTGTTTTATATCACTCCCTGATTTCCTTTATAGACTTAGGCTTACTAGGACTCAGGACACTTAATTTAGTTGTTCTAAACCCAAAATGCAGATTTGATTAAACAGGTTCTGCTTACGTTTTTGTTGGCTAGCCTGTGTCCTTTGTCCGTTGGTCCGAGTCCGATGTCCAATCGGTCCTGACGCCCCGAATCCCGGACGAGCCCCCAAATTGTTGA